GGAGAGCTTACTTAATATTGCAAAGTAGTTTTTCTAGTAGTAAGCTGTCTGCACTGTAATGACTGATGTATGTAAGTCAGACTTTTGTGTTTGTACTGTACATCTGATCTCTTTATGGCAGAATAAGAGCTTTTATACACAAGCAGTAGTTAATTTTAACATTGAAATTCCTCTTTAAGTCATGAGAAAATCATACCCACACATTTGAAGATACTTGAAATGTAGCTATAATGAGAATTACAAGATTATAATTAGATAATGAACAATTGGTGACATTAAGGGGATTAGTTCTTCTTAAAAACATACCACAACCATCCTGTTCTACAGATTATGGGCAGGGATCATAATTACTTGATACCCATAATATCCAGGGCATGCAGTTTATTTACTGAGCAGCACACATACTCAGAATCTACTGGGAGAGGCTTTGCATCCCAGTGCCAACTTAGTTATCTCCATTAGCAGCTGAACTCCAGCAGAGATTTTCATTACAACCAGCATCATATGAAATAACAAAGAAACAAAATTTAATTCTCAAGCTCCTTTTAATTTCTGCATGACAAATTTGGTGAGGCAGCAAAAGTTCCACAAAAGCCACATACACGGTTTATTGGTTTTTGATTCTGACCAATGTGCATTAGAATAGCAGAACAATATATATTTATTCCCACGCATGGCTAAAATAAAATAACCATGAAGCTACAGTTCCAAATAATAAAATGTTGCATTTTTTTTCAAACATGAATATGAAGTATCAAATTCTAATTTGAAAATCATAACTTTTATGTAGAAGATTTGTTTCTGAATAGTCTGTCTTTGTAGTAAAAAACTTTCTTGAGTGAATGTTTTGCTGGAAAATCCTTTGCTTGTTTCAGTATCAAGCTGTGTCTTAACCTTGTACATCTTCTCTTTCTGTAGGAAAAGTCACAAAAATAAAGGTTTTGTTTCATCAGATCCTTCATAAATTTATAGTCATACTATAACGTTTTTTTAAAGCTTTTATTTGGGATTTTTTTTGTTGTGATTACAACTAAGCATCTAAAATTCGTAGTTGCCTTCCATTATTTTGACACCAGTACCAGTGACATCAGATTTGAAAAACAAAACTAACAGTTTCAGATTTTGACGAGGCAAGTGACGTATTGGATCTCTCCTGGATTTGAAATGGCAGGCAGCTTCTGTTATTTAAGGATATAGAAGCAATGTTCTTTTTATTCTGCCATAATTTCTTAGTAAAAATATTTGGAAAATAAATCCAATCATCTGTTGTTTTAGGCGATAATCAGTCGATAAATGATCAAGTCCTATAAAACCTGCAAGTCATTGGCCCTTGAGGACTGGTATTGCAACCTCCTGTCTTACATTGTGTCTTTAAAAAGAAGACTGCTTAACAAAATCCTGTAATAACTATGAAGCATTTGAGTCCAGACTGAAACCGAGCCTACTTAAACCCAGACCAACCCCATTGTTCATTGATCATTGTTCTGATCATTAATCAACCACTAAACCAAGGTGGGAGAGCACCTGGGCCACAGGATTCTCTGGTTTGTATTCCACTTCTGATGTTAATTGCTTAATTGAACTAATTATTTTTATAACAGGTGGAATCACCTGCTGTTTGAAGTCTTAATTAGTGCTAATTGAAACGCAAAACCTGTGAATCCTGCAGGACTCCAGCCCTTGAGAGCTGGAGTCGGCCATCCCCTCATTAAACTCTTGCTCTGATATTAGTATGGAATCAGACTGAAAATAATAAATCTCAGGGGAAGAATAAAGGTAAAGTCTGAGGAAATTACTCAATATTTGCTTTTCAAATTCTGAAAATACTCTACCTTTATGTTTACAATAAATGTGTTTAGATGTTTACAATAAAACACAATTTATAATACAATAATCTTTACTTTATATACTGTAGATACACCATACTGTATATAGATACACCATCTCAAGGTGCAAGACCTGCTCACTGACCCATTCAAAATAGTAGACAAAACATAAAAAGATCTTTATGTAAATGTTAATTAATTTGTATGCAGTAAATTAAAATACAGTAGAAGGTAAAAACAGAACCAAAAAAGGATTTTTGTAGAATGGAAGCATTTATTATTTATGTGTTGTTTTTATATTTCTTTTTAGATATCTCTTTTTTTAAAAAAAATATGAACAATAGCTAAAGGGCTTTATGAGGGATATTTATTTTGTTGTCAAAAATGATCATAGGAGGATTTAATGACTGAGGCATGTTAAAACTATAAAAACTTGTAAGTGCCCCAACAAAACTTGCATTATGCTGTGTTTCCTTCCTGCATTAGAAAATGGAGGTACTGTATGTAGTGTGACTCTCAGGCCAGAACACTGAACTCACTTTTTTGGATGAGGGGAACGTGCACGCCCACACACCGCTCAACTCTTAATTTCTCCTCCTCCCCACCAGTGGTGATTGATTGTGAAGTTCATTACGAAGTGTTGGAAATGACCACTTTAATGGGGATCCATCACTCCTCTGTGAGACCCTCTTCCCTCCTAAAGAGAGATAAATCACTGGTGTTCTCATTAACACAAATCTCACCATTTCCACTATTCTACTCTTCACTGCAGTGATTGGCTAATAAAAACTGCCATTTATCTAAATCACTGGGGTTTTTTTCTCCTCCAATTTGGGTACAAAAGGTAACTTGGCAACTGGCCTCTATATAGAGCATAGATGTTTTTCTGCCTTCTGCCTTGAAAAAAACAAATACTAGATGGTTTGCTCGAGACGTTTACTAACCACTTTGACTGCCATTGCATCATCCAGGTGGATGCTGCACTTTGGTGGTGGTGGAGAGGAGTCCCCGTTACCTGCTTTGAGTGGAGTGTCCAGAAATGTGTTATTTAAGTGTAAGGAATGTTGTTATTATTATTATTTTATTATTTCAGGCCTGTCACAGAGGTCGTTTTTGTGAAGAAACATCCTAATTGTTGATTAATCTCTTAAATGTAACACCTGGCATGATCAGGAAAAGAGGTTCTCATCTATATAACTAACCAGCCAAGCAATTCATGTCCCATTAAACATATAAGAGATTCTTATTAAATTAATCATCAAATAACAATGGTTTTATGGTCAGTTTCTTCAGAACACTTCTATAATGTTTCCTGATGGACAGAGTAGATATGCTTAAAGAATCAGATAAATGCTTAAACAGAAGAACAGCATGATATAGTGTTGACTTTACTTACATTTTAATGTAATGTCACTGATGTTCTGCAGAAGAAATGAGACTCAGCTGACCTAATTTTACGTTAGTCCCGTCGCTTTTTGTTAGATATCGGGTCTGACCTGGCTAGATGACTTGCCAAAAACAGATTTTAACGTAGCGAATTTCAAAGCAGTAAAAGAGTTATTAAAATATTCATACTTTATCAGCAAAAATAAATACATAAAATGTAATTTGAGCTGCAAAGCTGAAAATTAAACGTAACTTCAAAGTGAGCTATTTTCGGAAGAGTATGGAAATTATGGAAGAACGGGAAGTTTTTATTGGATTTTGTTCAATGTCCCAGAATTCCTTCCATGCTAGCTTTAGATGGGGTTGGTCTACCATAAAATATGGAATAAAAAAACAAGAACAAGTATATAGCACCCCACACACACAAAAAAAAACCTTTAAGATGTGTCCATAACATTATATGAGAGGATCTTACATTATACGCAATGAACTCCATTTAACGAATGAATCTATTCCATCTATATGACGTATGTTTTATTGGATTTAATGTCCTCTACGCAGTATTTACCTGTGATGAAGGTTTAAAATAAAAGTTTATAAGTTTGCTAAAATCAGTTACAAATGCATGTGTACATTTACATGCACCTCTAAAGATGCATACATTCATTTCACAAAATGCGCATTAGTTTCGTTGAGCTCAAGAGAAAATGTTTCGCACAAGTGTATTTTTTCTTTTTAAAAAACTAATGTTTCCCACAAAGTTGGAAAGGGTGTTTTTTTTTTCTCTGACAAAGTGTTTATGTCCGAATTTTGTAAGTAAAAACATATGTAATATCATTACATATTACATCACATTTCTTTAATATCAATACACTAACAAATTTAAAATTCATACATTCTTACCATTACAATTTCGGCTGATTTCGTTACTGTATTTTGGTGCATTAATGTATGTGAGTTGGCTCTCTATTTCATTTATCTGTGAAGTAAATTTACAATAAGCTCCTCGCAGTTATTTCGACTACAATAAAATGGTAATTATGTACAGATAAAGTTAATAATATGGCTACGAAGAGATAGTATCCGTAAATTAACTTTTTTGAATTCACAAAATGTATTTGGTCCGAAAGTTAATACCTCCTACAATAGATTTGATAATTTTACGGTATGTATCAATGTAATAGTTTGGATATTGAATTAATTAAACCCTGAACTATTATAATAGAAATTATGGGGTCATTACTTGTCTGATTCACTTTTTTTCACTTAAGATTTAGTGTTCTAATAGACAAGAACGGTTAACATTAATGTGTCAATCCTAAAGACACCTCGCATGCTTCTTGTGCGAGGATTTAATACAGATTACAATGCTCTGCCGAACATACTGTAGATTGGGTGGGGTGGTATTATTATGATGTCATTTAAGGATTTGGGCTGCCCTACAGTCGTGACATCACCGAAGTTTGGTACAACTTTGCTTTTGACGAAGTTTTTTTAATGAAATTACTACTGTACAAAAAGAAAACCATCATGAATATTGCAAAAAATATTGAGCGACTTGACATCTGGAATTAATGTTTTGCACATTATGTCTAATGAACTCCGATACATCAATTGGTTGTTATGTTAATGTAAAGGTAAATGCAACACAGGTAACTAAAACCCCGGAAGAAATGTCGGGTTATATCCGTGGCAGTAAAAAATATGTAATATTAATCTTCGATAACGATACACTAGGCCGTTAATAAAACGCAAATCACTCATTTCTGAGTTGATAGTACTTGGCTCTATACTTATAATACAGGTTACAAGAACAAATTAATGATATAATTGCACATGAACGCTAACCTGAGCACACCTGTTCAACAACGTATTCGGGAGAGGTATCAGAAGAAGCGGAACAACATTGACACACGGGTTCAAAAACCACAATGTTTCAAAGCTTAAATTAGATTGAATTATCTTTCTTTAGTTTGATAGAAAATAATTTATTGAAATCACAGATGTACATGTATGTTTACATTAGGAGGCCCGCGGTTGTAGGTATTATTAAACCACATCTCTATATACATACGAATGGAATTTCTTAAATTTGCTCTTTTTTCACAATTCGATTTCCACAAACAACTGCCGAATACGTTTTCCAGACTGTACCGTAAAAGACATTTGAATGCACATGCTAACTGTTCCGATCAAGGGAAATGATAACTTCTTGCACAACAGTAAAATGAAATAAAACAGCTTCAACAAGTAAGCAAACATGCAGAAAATTCACGAAATTTACACAAAGAAAAGTTATTTCAAAACAGAAACAAAAAAATATACCTGTGGCGTTCCACCACATTGCAACATATAAATATTTTAAAAGAAATTGTATACAATCTCGTTTCATAGTGCACTTCTGTGTCGTCGTGCGACACTTTCAGTATATACATACTTTACAAAAAATAAATAAGCATTTACACATCCCAAAACCATAATTGTAAAATGAGGTTATTTTATTAAGGAATCGAATTCAAATAACGTCAAGTTTTAATTATTTTATTTGAGATAGTGGCCTTACTGTCTTAATTTTATTTTTAGATTTCAGTAAGCTAACGATGATTTATTATCCACTGTGTCGAAAGATATGGCTGATTTATAGACATTTTTCTGCCCTGTAGACAGCTTCACAACTAGATTATTCAGTATTATATTTAGATTGCAACTGAGAAATAGTGCAGCCTTGGAGTTGTACTGAAACTATTGTAACACGTATATTGTGAAAGCGATCATTTTCCTCAACAATATACAATTTGAAGTTTTACATTACAGGGTATTACTTGTAGTTTATTCCTTGTGCAATCATCATTTTGCTTTGGAGTCCAGACTTCAGGCGCTGCCTGTTTCTTTAAACTTGACTCTCACCTGTAGGTTCGCATTTTTTTAAGTTTATGCAGTGGTTGTGGTTCTCTTGGTTTATACAGTGGCTGTGTATAAGAAAAGTAGTCTTTTTTATTATTCACGGCCTGCTCCCTTGCTCGATCTGCTGGTGTTGGCTTCTCACAGCAAACCTGTTGACATGCACAGGAATGGGCACCACAATTTTAGGGTTCCTTACGGGTTCCCCCGATCTGTTGTTGACATTGCCGGCTTTAATCCGTTTCCATTTGGCTCTGCGGTTTTGGAACCAAATCTTGACCTGAACTTCGCTTAATTTAAGTGCATGCGCTATTTGTGACCGTTCAGTCAGAGAGAGGTACTTTTTACAGTGAAACTCTTTCTCAAGTTCAAGCAATTGCTCACTGGTAAATGCTGTCCGCCGTCTCCTGCTTTTTCCTGTAGAATTACCCGCGGGTAGCGGCTCCTGAGACCCGGGTTTGAGTTTGTTCTTTTGGGACAAAGGACCGCAGTTGTTGCCGTCAGAGAAACTTTCATTCTCGCTGTCAGCGGAGCTGTCCTCCTCTCTGTCGCTGCATGGGGTCTCAGCTGATTTAATGTCCAGTTTCTCGTCATCTGAACTGTACAATTTGGTTTCGCCTGAAAAATAAATACCAAAAAAAAGTTATCAAGTAGATGCCATTTATTAAAAATATTAATTTCAATTTAACGACACTGCAACTAATTTGAACAGGAGTTTGCATAATTATTTTAAGTGATAGCCTAATATGCTGGTTTTGTTGATATTATTATGATCTTTTATGTTAGTTAAGGAAAGAAGATGCCATAAAATAGACACTAAGAAAGTTATCATCTAAAAAGATGGAGAAAGTTATATACAATTTAACATATATATTGTATAAAATATCTGAAGATATTTATAACCTTTATTTTATAACATGTATCTTTTTCCGAGAAAAGGTTCAAGTTTTCACGAATAGATATGGCTTTATTGAATAAACTTTAAGTTAATTTAAAACTTTAAGATAATTCTTGTTTTCATCATCAGTAGCATTTTACAATAGGCACAAAATATGCACATTGTGAATTGTGGAACTGGGATTATAAAAGAGTTCACAGTCTAAGTGGAATATACTCATCGATGCTGTCACACAAAACAGTTACAAAACTTCAGCCTTAAATTATTTTATGTTTTCTGCTATGCCGAAGGCTACAAGGACCAATGACATCCCCCTGAGCAAACTGTCAAACATTTGCTGTTGTACATATGATTAAAAGACACCTTGATCCTTAACCACCTTGCGTATGAACAGTATATTTGAGCGATCTATGCTCGTGTATCTTATAACTTTGCAATATACGATACATTTCACGTAAGAGTCTAAGAAAATAAAGTACATGCTCGTGAGCTCACTTGTAATTATCTGAAATTTATTGCATTCATTTATTATATAAAAAAATTGGATTTATATTTAATAGTATAATTGTCGGCTTTAAAAAAATATTTTTTAGATCTCTGTACTACACTCAAAAGAAATCAATAGAACTATTCTGTTTCAGTTATCATCGGTCAGTTCTTTAAGGTTTCCAATTTTAACATTTCATAATAAAGCGATATGAGATAGCATTTGCCGTAGAAGGAGCTATAGAGATTTTTCTATAGTAAAATCATATTAAAAAGCTCACCTGTCCTTTCAGTTCACGTCTCTTACCGAAAGTATTCAAAAACTATTATACCTGTTTATATATACTGTATATAATATACAATTTGATCTACAATTACTGCTTCCCCTTCATCTCCTTTCATTATTTTTCTATATGGTGATATTTTGAACTTTATTTTGTGCAAGCTTTTAAAAAAACAAAGTTGCGGAAATTAAACCGAAAGACAAATGTAGGCCCAAATAATGCTCTTCGGTGGATTTCTGTGTTCTTTTAAAACGTATTTCTTCTCTCATGGGTACTATAGATACAGGATTTGAGAGTCAGCATATGGTCGCGTTTATCACAAAGAAAGTAGTTGTCTTGTATTATCTGTATATTAAATTCGTACAGGCTGTTCGACTGTTGTAGAGTCTGTTGCTGGTCAGACCTTTACAGCTTTTCATTCGACATTTGAATACTGCTTCCGAAACTTGGATGCATATAATTATACTAACAACAACGATAATCACGGGAAGTATTTAAATTCGCTTACCGAAAGACGATTGGAATATTGATCGTTCAAATTAAAATTTGATTTATTACAAAAAGTCTATTGAAAGTTATTATAACAGGGGAAGATCTCTGTAGGTCATAAGAGAACTCTACATCACCAAAATCTCAAATTTGATGTATTTTGCCACATAGTGTACATAATCATGTTTGTATAGTAGTATTTTATGAAGCTCAATACTCGTGTGTATTGTTTTATTTCTACTAAAGATCACAGATAAAAGTGTTATTTAAGAACTCTGCTTCAACCTTTATTAACTAGATAGACTTACCTGTGATAGTTTGAAAAGTTTCCGAGAAGTTGAGAAGCTCTGAACTCTTGTCTCTCGCAGGCAGATCCTCAGCATGCGGACTCTCTTGTCTCCTTACCCCAGGGTCAGCGCTTAATCGTGGCCCCGGGATTTCCTGTGGTGGGTAGAAGCTATCCGGAGGGTCAGAGAAGCTGGGCAGCGCTGTGGTGAGGGCTACCATGGAGGGCACCCCTTGTCCTAAACTGGCACAGAAGGTGTTGGTAAGACGTCCGGCAAAGGAAGCCAAGGGAGCTAACGGAGGAATGCCAGATTGTAGAGGCGAATGAGAGAGGGCTTGAGGAATGACAAGTGGTCTGTAAGGCATAAACATGGGGTAGCCTGTGTAAAGCAGGTGCCCCGACCGGGGCTGTGGAGTCCCAATTAGGGAGTCAATGGAAAACGCTGTTCCTTGGCCACTGGGTCTCTGCATGCTGGTGGCGAGCCAAATGTGGTTAAAAAAATCAAATCCTCCCCTTCAGAGATAGAAATCCTTGCGTTTTCCCGTTTTGAGCTAAGCCCTTCCTCTCTTAGCCGTAGCTGTTATCCTTATAATGACTGCTGTTTTAGGACAGTCAGTATTTGGAAGCTCCAAAGCGTCCCCTTTTCCAGCAAGCCAATGCGCTGACTGCGACCTGACTCTTTCTCGCTTCCCTCTCACTCCCTCTCTCTCAGTCACACACACTCTCACACACATACTCACTAGGCTCATCATAAGCAATAGAGGAGGGATAGGAGGGGGTGTTGCCCTCAAGGCTCATCCATCTTCCTCAAATTACGCTTCATTTCCTTATTCAGCTCCTGGCTTTTTTGGCTGCCAGGGAAGCGGCAGGTTCCCAGTGGATACCAATAGATACTGGGCCCAACCCCCTTCGGTTTGGGCCAGAGTGACTGGAAGCGGCGTGAGAGACGACTTACCACCTTCCCCTTCCCTAATCTTTGACCACACCAGCCTAATCAACTATTATTAATTTTGATTGATGATTAGTAATTACTCAGGATTTAGGGGGGTGACATAAAACAAGGGTGCTATTGTTAAAATGTAGGAACCGACGGCTCAGGATTCGGAAAGGAACAGAGGCAGATGTTTTTTTTCTTCACATTTCTAAAAAAAGAAGTCTTTTCTTCTTTTCTCAAAGTAAACAATGTGTTCAGCCTCGGAGAAGTGCAAAGATAATTATCCCCGGGAGAGGAATATTTTGTGCAAAATTAAATTAGAATAAAGCAATGGGATAAGAGGGTCAATGAGAATCTTAAAACCCGTTGCAGTGAAGTCAAAATTATAAGACTTTCACTTACACGGGAACAAGTGATGTGGAGCCTTTAGGACACAAACATAAGCAATACGCATCAAATCATCGCACACGCACACACTTCTAAACAAAAGATTTCGGTATACAATTAACGTACGCTGCAAGCAAAGATTACGAAGTACAAAGTACAATTAGGACCAAAAAACTATGTGATTTTAGCCTGTATTCGGAAACAGTAGATTTAACATGATTTGCAGGCTAGACACCAGAATCGAAATTTATTGCATCATCAGTTTATTTTTGTTGATACAAATGAGGATGATTCTAGCAATGTAAACCTAGTTTGTAATAAAAATCGCATTAAACTGCCTTGACATTTAGGACCTTTGTTTTTGCCTATTGTATATAAACAAGTATTAAATAAATAGGGATACTGTTAAATCCCTTCTTTTATTTTTTTTAATCAGACCCGAATTATACTAGATTGAGATTTAATTTTTAACATTTTTTTCCAACAAAATGAATATTCAAGTAATTTCTTTCTCCCTTTTTTCCTGAAAGTGTTAATTTGATCTGATTCTTTTTTTCTCTCTATAATGGCATTCTCACTGATGATGATTAGTCCCTATTGAGTCCTGGGGGGCGCGAGCACTCCAACTGCCCCGTCTGATTGCACGGAGATATAAACATATCAGCTCCAACTCTGATTAGCAATGGAGGGCCAGGGATGCTAATTATTCTTATAATTGCAAATGACTCCATTCAACATTACCTCTCTTTGATCTATTGAAACCAGACAGCTCCCCTCTCCTTTACCGCTCCCCATCCTTTAAGTGGACTGGTATAGGGGCTTCAATCAGAACCCCCTACTGAAAACCACTTGAAAAGTGAGATCAAACTTTTTTTTTTAACGAGAGGTGTGCAAGGATTTGTGATACACAAGTGCAAATACATGCAAAGTATTCAGTTTAATACATCAAGTTAGAAATCTCAGATCAACTCTTCACCTATATCCCCACAACCTTTTGCAATGATTTTCGAACACATAGTTTTACGTGACTCAGCCACTATTGTCACAAATTAAGAATAAGAACGTTTGCAAATTAGAGGAGGTATTATTAGCACCAGTGTGCCCTAACACTGTAAGAAATATACTTTCACTTCTGCAAAAGAATAATACAAGACCATTTTAAAACAATTAACCATTTTGTTCTTTTTTTTGTTTGTATCTATTCTAACTTCTCATTTTGTTTTCACGTCTAATTTTGTTTTTAGAAAGATGGAGTATTTACGCTAAGGATTTCAAGATAAGAATCCGTATCCGAAGTAGAAGTGGGCATTTAGGAAGCCTGGAAAAAGGCCACTCGCTGACATTGGTGTGTATTTTCAGTTTAAGGGCCTGTGAAGTTGTTTTCGTAGATAGTACGTGAGGAACATGGCTATGCAAAACATAGAGGTCTCTTTCAGTCCGCACTGTTCTCATGAGAATAGAAACATTATATAATCAGCTGTTTTATTATTTCATTACAATATTTTTCGTTACCTGTCCACCAAAATCATAATGTGACAGTTTTCTTTTTTGTACTGAACAATTAACGTTTACGTTCTATCTGATGGACTGGATTAATAGATATTTTTAACAGATGTGGAATGCTATACCATGACATTTGTAGTACGAGGATCTTGCTGTTGAGAGGTAAGGTACATCCCTTGTTGCAGCGCCGATTATGCATGGAATTTCCAGCGTTTTAATGCAACATTGGTCTTTAAAATGTGCAGGGTGTCAGCAAAAACCTGTCAAACACACGAAGAGGCTAATATACCAATAATATGTTATCTGAGATGAAAGTCTTATTGCCATAACCTTTTCACTGAACAAACTTAACAAATAACAACATAAATTTCTCAAAGTAAAAATTAATATAATTTTAGATAAAATAAATCCAGTTTCTTTTAGTTGAGTTACATCTACATTTATATGTATATGTTATGTATCTTTCAATATATAATAGACAATACAGTATTTATATGAAATATCCTTTCTCCTAAACAAACCTGCATTAGTAGTCGGCAATACACCATTATTTTAAATATATGCATTTTGATTTGCGCCACGTTTCTTATTTTGTAAAATAACGTTTACAAAATGTATACTAATACATTTCAAACTCATTGTGTAAAAATAAAAAGTACAATAACAAAAATGTTAATAACAATATCAGATAATATTACAACTTGTAATACGCCGATCGCATCATTTTAAAATTGTGTAGTTGGCAATGTGGAAATAAATTCGTGGACAGAGACATCGCTTAGACTTGTGCTATAGTTCCCCTGCCAAGGGTCGTCTGAGTGTGCTGTCAGGTTCATTACCCAGGTCGCATTGTTCCCCAATATGTCATAACAGTCCATCAGAGGCTCGCTATTTTAAAATCCGTCGGCTCCTTAAGAATTCTGTCCACAACTATTCCATATGCATTACAATTAGTGCATTTCAAATAATCATAATTACACTTTCGCAGAGAAATCGAGTTTTCACGATTAGAAAGAAATGTTTCATATTAGTATTCTTTTACAAAGCAAAATTAAACTTCTAAGTACAGTATATTTTCATTTTTTTCTTGCTGTTAGTAGCCTAGTCATCGAAAATTCTTTCTATATATCGTCGTACATATAAGAGTTATAGAACATTTTTATGCACACAGATTCATGACTCACATCCACACAGCTACCACCATTTGTAAAATCTAGAAGAAAATTATTCATTTGTGCATTACGAATGTGGTCGTGAACTAAAAATCATCATCTTTTCACATTTCACATTATTTAAGCAATGAAGATAATATATCAAAATTAGTTTACAAAATAAATAAATGATAAAGTTAAAGCAGTGTCTGAGTTTTTAGGAAAGATGCCATTAAGATGACTACATACACAATGGCCATGTTAATATTCAATACAAAATTTATCATAAAGATAAAACAATTCACATCATTCAGTCTTTACTTACATCAGAGAAAACATCCAGAAGTTCTTTCGCAGCTACACATTCCAAGTTTGTCTTTGATTATTATATAAAGCATACAATCAGAGCAAATAATGGTATCAGTCAAAGAGATAACTGGACTAAGCTTTAATAAGTTAAATCTCAATCTATACTGTTGTAGCAGTCAGCTCAAATAGTCCTCGTTATCATTGCAGGTTGCTGTTACTACCATTGTCAATAAAGAGGGAACAATTGAATAATTACATAATGAAACAGTAAAACAGTTCCATTATTTGGTTAACTTTATGATTAGCTAACAGTTCTAGTGGGTTTACTTTCTGAAATATACACAGTCAATATAGTGCTTATTCACGTGGACTCCATTGTTTGCAGCGTGAAGTAGAAGATACATACTGTAGAGAACTGTATATTTAGAAATGGAAGAAGAAAGCAGAGCTGTAGTTTATCACATGAAATCTGTTTCAAACTTCTTAAATGTCCAGATAAGAACATTCAAGTTTCTTCTAAACTAGACTGAATTAATTCAGAGAGGCAATTGTGGTAATTAAACTGTGCCTTCTGCTAAGATGATTTAGTTGATTTACTTTTACAGTTATGATTCATGAAAAGCATTGTGCTATCTGAGTTGTCATCTCTGTGCAGATATCACTATAGTGTATAATGGAATGGCTTGCCATTTTTGAGAATATAACAGTTTGGTGAAAATTGCTTTAGTGAAGTGGCACTGCTGGTCTGTTTTGGAAGGTAAAAGAAATGTATCACCATATATGGCATACATGTCAGGATCAGATACAATTCAATTTATGTGCATCCAAAATTTCATCAATGTACAAATTAAGGAGACTAAAATGTTATATTATGTAGTGTTTCTCCTTTCTTCATTTTCAATAAAAACAAACATACAGATCACACTTATTCAACAACTGTTAAAGGAGAGAGAAGATCTGTATCCAAGAATCAATTATTTTTCTTTACCCTTTTAACTTAATTGTACTACATTGAGTTTGCACTTGGAAGATCAAAGTCATTCTGACAGTACCCCATCTGGCCTCACTGTAACTGCTCAGGTAGTCAGTGAATGATATGTGTCATTGTTGATGTCATTATGATACCATTTCACAATTACATCTGGTGTTAACTGACAGAAAAAAAATGACAGAATGAAATAGAAATGACATGCATAAGTAGCTCTGTGGGTAAACCAACACATTTTCATTAATTTATTTGAATGACACGTATCCAAAGCAACTTGTATTTGTACTGCAGGGTATTTTAATGGCACATGAAACACCTTGATCAACAGTACAACCACTGTACAACACTCAGAATTAACTAAACCTTACAAGTCCAGAGCTCTTGTACTACTCCACACATCTGCCAGCTTCTCATAAAACATCTCATAACATAAGGCAACACCCTGGTGTCAGACTCAATGAACTCAGGGACTGCATTTGACCTGACTCTTAATTCCATTATGCTTTCTGGATTAGGACTACATTAGACTGGTATTCTATCCAAATTGTGTGCTTCTTTGCACCCATTGTCTGCATGAACTGCATCCCTTTATTGGACTCAGCAGGTACTGAAAATGGTATAGGTTATCATCGGGGAGGTACTCAACATGAGCTACCTTCAAAACAAATATATTGGCCACATTCACAATTTGTACTGATTGTTGTCAAGGACCACTCCAAATTGTGTTTATCAGGAATGTTTGATTCATGGTTAAAAAAGACAATATGTAGGATCCAGAGGAAGAAATGAGACTGCTCCAAAGAAAACAGAAAATACGTATGTCTGTTTCTGAGATGTCAAACTTTATTAAGCCCTGTTGGAACTGACCATGACACTATGGATAGCAGTGGGAATTCTAACCTCCATTAGAATATAGGGAGCAATGGCCACTGGGTACAATTTTACAATTGGTGATGAAAGTCCCATGCATCTGAAGTGTTTCATTCCAGCTCAGCTTTTAATGAAACAATTAGCTAGTTTCTGCTTAATTGAACCAATGAAACATCATCTCCTAGCTCTTCAGAACCTGTAGCTTTAAATGGAAATTCAAAAACCTGCAAAACATACCAGATCTGGGGTTCAGGACTGGAGAGCTTAGGTCTAAGACCCTGTTGTCAAGATTTGAAGACTAGTAATGATTGTTTAAGTAATTGTATTGGAACAACCACTATCACAGCCATACTGAAAAAGTTATTTAATCACCACAAGACTCTGCCAATATTTCATTTGTATGATATTCTGAATTTAGAAGACAAAAAATGCAGTATGTGGAAAAAAATCATAGACCACATTTATTTTCATATATCATCTTGAATTGGATGTAATTTTGAAGTGAGAAAAACAAAGCTGACAAGCTTTACAAATTAACAACTGTATACACTACAGTTTACACTTTATTTCTGGTGTATTTCCTACCCCTTCAGGTATGAATTATAGGCAACACCACCCCCTTGTGGTTTGCATATCTAACTAATCATCTAGCTTGTTGTTAGAAAGCACAGAAGTCTAAACAGACTTCCTGCCACTTCGTAAAAATAAAATCAAAGCTAATGGCCACAGACAGCTAATATTCATTATGGGAATTTGGATTCCCATAATACATAGAATACATAGTAGCTGCTTGCTTTAAAAAACACCTTAACTCTGGAAATTGTTCCTTCTAAGATCTCTGTCATAAATAGCATTAGAACATATAGCTCAGGTGGGTAGCTGCGTCAGCATGCGTAGGCTACAAAGGAACAAGTAATAGGTTTATTCCATGCTGAAAAGAGAAGAAAGAAAACACAACATTTCGGCTGTGGAGCCTTCTTCGGGTGTAAAGGAAAAAAAAGCTCACACCCGAAGAAGGCTCCACAGCTGAAATGTTGTTTTCTTTCTTCTCTTTTCAGAATGGAATAAACCTATTACTTGTTCCATTAGAATATGTATACTTTTCATCATTACATTGTCTATTATTTATAAAGTCCCCTGTAAAACCAAAGTTATGAGTGTTTGATCTAATTTTAGTACATACACTCAAAACACCTGATGTGCATTAAACACACAATTCTTTCATATAATACACTGCTTTGTTGAACCCGTAGACCTTGTCATCCAGAATTAGCTAACTATTTATCTGGGCAACAGAATATTTTTATTCTGATGTCACACTAAAATTTTATAAAAGTAGAAGACCAAATATTAATTCAGCTCAGTAGTTTTCAGTTTTAAGGGAATATCTACTTGAATTCAATAAGAACATTTCAAACATTATGCAAGATCGAACATCTCATTTTATCATGTTAAAGAAGTAAAACTTGTAATATGAGAACAAAAAAAATCTCAATGTACTTACATTTATTCAAATTTAACCATAAACATATAAAAAAATCTTCCTTTTGTAGATGGATAATAAAGCAATAAATCAGAAGCAATTTATGAAACTAAATTAAAATGGACTAGACAATGTAAGAAAAAATTGCAAATATGGAACAAAATCATGCAGAAATTTATTTAACTTCAAAACAGCTCCTTCAATTATTATTTTTAAAATTAAAAATCAAAAAGAAAAAAAATCTGAATTATGCATTGGGGTCCATCATGATTTTATAGAACCGACCCTTTCAAGAGGGAAAATTTAGCCTTTTTTTTAATAAAAGCTGATACAAATACATCTGCAGTTCATTCATTTCCTTGTAGACCTAAAGCTACCCAGTTTCCACCAAGAGATCACAGATCCTCCCACAGAAGAGCTCTTATAGCCTTCAAGTCAATCTTTTAGCAAGACTAAAAAGCCTTTTAAGATCCAAAACACAGCATAATCTCAATATCACGAACTTTATATTAACTACTCATATTTCCAAAGAAAATCATTTTTAAATTGATTCATAACAGCAGTCAGCATTAAGTGCTAAAGGTTCATCAAGATATGAAGGTATCTGTACACTTATTATGGTTATTTAGTTACGATAATTGCTATAAACATACCTTAGCTGAGTATTTACAATATTGCAGAATCTAAAAGTATTATGTGGCTACTGCACCACACATATGTAGGAGTGACATTTCTATGGCAAGTACTTGTGTGCTTTAAGGGAATTGTTGCAATAGGTTCTCAATGAAGATAACCCCTGAAATCCAGCAGTAGGTAGTTCTGTAAGAAAGTGGGAAGGCCAAGTTCGGAGACCACCAGGCGCAGCTTCTTCTCCAGAAGGTTCCTCAACTTGCACCGTGCCAAATGCTGAAGAGAGCGAGGTGTATTGGCCAGGGAAAACAGAGACTCATAAAAGTAAGAATGTTCCTAGAAATGAGAAAACACAAAGATGATTAATTGAGGATGTTTATCTATTGCATGGAAACTTTACAGTGAGAAAAAAAAGATTGTTGTCAAACTACCAACAACAGAAAAAAGCTTAAGCACAGCACATCAGGTGTTTATATGAACACCAGAGCAGCTAGAGGGAAACCTGTGCACTTTGCACTGAGATCCAAGGCATGCGAAAGAACAGTTTGACAATCTCAGTGGAGCTGATGGAAAATCACTAGGAGGCAGGCCAAGCTAGAGTTGCAGCTATTATGACTGCAGCTGGTCTCAATTAACCCCTCATTATCCAATTTCCCTTACACACCCCTTCCTTAACTATATAAACCCTTGGTTCACCCGGTAACATTGCTTGGTATTAGGATCTCTTCCACACCCTGACCTCACCTCAGCCTTTCCTCCTTAGTACCTGTTCTTCCTTGTCTGGACTCTATCAACGTTGACTATTTGGTTTTGGTTTTTGGATTTCTCGCTCTTGTCTCACCCTTATCGGATTTGTTTGCCTCTCTTTTTGTGTACTACCTGGACTTGACCCTGCCTGGAATAACTCTACCTTGTCGCCTGCCTTGGATACCTCAGCTACCGGACCTCATCTGGAAACCCGCACAGGGTTAGTAAATTACATAGTTCTCACAGCAGCCCAGAAATCACTGGTCATGGAATCACTGGAAATGACACCCCTGGTCAGCAGCCATAGCACCCTGTTACTCACAACTGGCAACCCACTAAAGCTAAGCAGGACTGAGCCTGGTCAGTAGGGAAAAACTAAGGTTGCTGCTGGAAGAGGTGTTAGTGGGGCCAGTAAGCGGTGCTCAGCCTGCGGTCTGTGTGTGTCCTAATGCCCCAGTATAGTGACGGGGACACTATACCGTAAAAAGGTGCCATCCTTCAGATCAGACGTAAAACCAAAGTTCTGGCTCTCTGTGGTCATTAAAAATCCCAGGGCATTTCTCAAAAAAGAGTAGGGGTGTAGCCCTGGTGTCCTGGCCAAATTTCCCATTGACTTTTTCCAATCATAGCCTCCTAATAAGAAGGCTTCACTGCCGAAATGTTGTGTTTTCTTTCTTCTATTTTCAGCATGGAGTAAACCCATTACTTGTTCCTTTGCAGCCTACCTGAATAGCCTCCTAACAATCCTCATCTATGAATTGGCTTCATCACTCTGTTCTCCTCCCCACTAATAGCTGGTGTGTGGTGAGCGTTCTGGCGCACTATGGCTACCGTGGCATCATCCAGGTGGATGCTGCACATTGGTGGTGGTGGAGAAGAGTCCCCATTAACTGTAAAGTGCTTTAATTGGAGTGTCCAGAAAAGTGTAAGGAATTGTTATTATTTTATAATAATAATAATAATAATAATAATAATAATAATAATAATAATAATTGCTTACACTTATATAGCGCTTTTCTGGACATTCCACTCCAGAATGATAGAAAGGCAGAGAGATGCCTACAAAGCAGGAAGCAACAAGAAAAGACTAGAGACATGGACTTGCAGAGTTACATCTGACTGTCAAATCAGAAAATAAATATGTGGTTTAGTAAGCCTGGTATCCTCAAACCTAGTAATTTCCAAATGTCTTCATAAGTACAACAAAAAATCCAATGAAGCACAAAATATCCTCACCATACTTAAAGGAAACCACATACGATATGAAAAATCCCGCTAGCTTTTCTTGTTATCTAGCAATCTTATTCCTACTTTACATTTTTTTTAGAAAATCATTCCAATATTACAATGCCTTTGTCTTTTATTTTGTCTGTTTACCTCAAAAACTTCAGGAGGAACAGCCTCAGTCCATGAGTCTGTGATTTTGAGGCGGTCATAGGTATTTAGCAGGACCTCAATGGTTTTTGGAGAAGTACAGCAGTATTTGAGAACCTGAAACAGGTTACAAAACAGCAAAAAGGTTTTACTGTTATAAGTAAAAGTTCCAGAACCTTTAATTTGCATTAAGCTACTAGTTGTTTATTGACCCCAAAACTTTGTGAAACAAGCTCTTGACTGACTCTCTTGACAGTCAGAGGTCTCTTGACTGACACCTAAGCTTTTGCATATTTATTTTAGAAAGTGAAACAAGTTGCTTGCTTACCTGTAAGTGAGCTTATCTACTTAATAACCACAAATATCTTGTGAACCTAGTATCAGTTTAGGACCCATTGTTGAATATTTGATCAGGATTTCAAAGACCTAAATTAGATCTCAACAAAGTCAACATTTTAGCGAGACTAAACAAGTTAAGCATCTTCATTTTGCTTAAGGATTCACATATAATTTCAACAGAATACATTGGGTGTCTCCTCTTGAAAGTAATAGTTACTGGTAATTAATTTGATTCCAATATATTTTATTTTCAATCAAACATCAATATTGTACAAATGCCTAGGATCAATTTGTAATAAAGTTGTTCACATTTCTGAAGCACCAGAAATAATTGCTGCTTTAAAGGGACTGGGGAACATTTAGCATTGAAACAGTCGTTTCACTGACTTTATATACTGTAAGATAACCTTAGGCACTTTCATTATTGTTATTTTTGTGCAAGAATAAGAAGAATACAAGAACAGGATAAGATATGAGCTGTGAACGTGTGTGCTCAGTTAGATATTTAGTCTACCTAGGACAGACAAGGGGCAAATACTATTTTGCAAGCTCATGCACAGAATGCATATAATATGACTTTTAAAGAAAAATTAATATCTTTATTGTTTGAAAATGAGGAAAGAGTTGAATCATCTTTAAATTAAAATTTGTAGTGCATTTATCTTTTGAAGGAATAAATTCTGCTTGCTTTAAAGAGCATATAAAACATGATTTAGAACAGCAATTTACAAAGATACAACACAGCCTTGTGGGATCTCTTCCAATAAACTTTGTAGATAATACATTTGCTTTGTCCTTCTGGAAAAAATGCTATCTCAGAATAAGCCCACAGAAAAAGTGAGGCCCTAGGACCTGATCAGTGTAGGTGTACACAGCAATAGGCATAATGTTTTACATATCCAGTCTGACATACTGTACATCAGAGCGGTCTGCATAAAACTTTTGATTTGTTTCTGAAGTGGACTTCATTGTTACTCTGGTTGTCTGGCCTGCAAATGTTGAGTGTTAAGCCACCTCTTCACATCTGCTTTGGTGATGTGGTGGTTGCTGCATTCTGGTGTTCCTGTTGAGTAGGACATTGCTCTTGTTCCACACAAACTGGCCTATTAAGGACAGACTGTTTGACTGCCACTGATTCCTATGATTAAAAACTGCTGGCTGTAAAAGCCCTAGATAGTGAGAGACATTGCACTGAATTAGTCCAGCTTTCATCATACCCATGTTGTTGTTTAAATGGGGCATATTAGTCCTCTTCTGTGGTCGTCTGTCTGATTTTCACCAGGTTTCACATTTAAAAAGTTAAATCACCTCATCACTAGTGCCCAATCAGCTCTCTCACTAATCACTAAAGTGATTTAGTGCTTATGCAACAAAGTCAATCGAGTGTATCTCAGTCAGTAAATAATGATCAGTTACCCCAGAAAATAACCAAAATCATTTAATAAATATCTGAAAATAGTAATATCTAATACTATTTTTTTTGAAAAACAATATAGATTGATGTTTTTTTCATTATTTTTTAATAATTGTAATTACAATTTTTTTTTCATTCTATCACTGAAATAATAGAACAAGATGACAAATTTCCCTTCAACATATCAATGTGGCCTAAAAACAAACTATGTACTTCTGTAACGGTGTGAATACATTCTAATATGAAGGTAACAACAGTAAGTATGAAGTCCTACAAACTAAACTAGCCAATAGAGAAAATAATGTGTGGATCTAATTGGATCTTACACTTCCTAAGATGACAGAAACTCTGGGACAAACTTATTTGGAGATCCCATGTCCAATGCCACTTCCTGATGTTGTACCCTGGGCAGGGGAACCTGGGTCAGCCTCAGTTCTACAATTCACAGTTCCACACAGTGGCTGTCTTCCTGGAGCAGGATGTCCAGCATGAAGAAATATTAAAATCAATTTTAGACTGCCCTGAACACTACCTTGCTGTCTGGTCCTCTCCAACTGACGGCAAAAAAAGAAAGGAGGAAAAAAGCCCTGGGAATGTGGCAAATAATTAAACACTCAGAGAGCTGAGCAGATTGGGCTTCCCTCCGGGGGATTAGCAGAGAAAATCAGCAATTAACGCTAATTAATCTCTTATTAACACTACCTAATTAGGAGTGAGACAATTTGTTTGAAATAAGCGGGAGTGTATGGAAGAGATTACACCATCATCCTTTATGTTTCTGCAATTTTAATATTGAATATTGAATATTGTTTATTTTAAATGTAAAAAAATGAAAGAAAAAACTGAGCAAAATAAAGAAGGTTTAAAGACTGAAAGACCAAGATTTATTGTAGAAATTTCTTAAAATTAAACTGGAAAGCAATTTTTACTGTATCTAACATTTGTGCCTTTTATGGATACAGCTTTTTTATTTTCATTACTGAAACCACACTAAAAAAGGCACAGCCTAGTTTCAATTGATCATAAAGGGGAAAGCTGGCCTACCTTAGGAAGTGCCCCAGGCCAAACACGGATAGAGCCATAATTAAGAAGTGAACGGACAATGCGCTCTGGATGGTGGTCCAGTTTGTAGGCCACACCTTTCAGAATGTTGTGCATGGGTGCATTGCCACTGTAGCTCATGATGTTGACATTGGCCCTGTTCTGCAGCAGCAGGTCCACCACACTGGGGTTGGCATACTTGCAGGCCATGTGCAAAGGGGTCTGCCGATCCTGGTCACAGGTATGAATGTCAGCCCCTGCACTGACCAGCAGCTTGCAGACTTCGTAGTATTGCTCCAGCTCGCTAGCGCTCTGCGGCTGTGAGCAAGCTGCGTTGAGTGGTGTTTGCCCCTCCTTGTTTTTTCTCTCAATGGCTGCTCCGTATCTTAAGTACAAGTCTATGTGCCCAGGAAGGCCATAACGAGCCGCCAGGTGCAGGGGAGTGTCATCTTCCTCCAGGCTTCGTCCATTAACAGAGGCCCCAAACTGAAGCAGGAGTTTGGCACACCTAGTTTGTGAACAAGGTGCAGAGATTTTAAGTTAGGAATACTCAAAAAATGGTATTTGTTTGGGGTTGTTTACATGCTATTCACGTTTGTGTCCAATTTTATTCCTCAAAAAACTATAAAACTGTATGTCTGGGTTCATGAAACTATTAGAGAATAGTTTTTAAAAATGTATTTTATTAAATCAGGTTATGTATTAATTGAAAATTGGCAACACAACACATTGGCTTAGTTGTTGTCTTAATAAGAATTTAAAGTATATATATATATTATTTCCAAGGCAGAGTTGATTTCATTTGCAATTAACACATTTCATTTGCAGATTAAATAGGGATATATTTTAAATGTGGACCAATAATAACAAGTCTTGTGTGCGCCTGCAGAAAAAGGCCTGGGAAGTTAAAATACCTACTGGAGGGACTCTGGGTCGGTACACAGGTGGAGAGGCATAAAGCCATCCTCAGTAACACTGTTAGCACTGCCTCCGTATGCTAGTAGCAGCCTGGCACACTCGGTAGTGCTGTTTTCACATGCTTCGTGTAGGGCAGTCTTCCCTCCTGGGGCCATGTCCACTTCGGCGCCTCTCATCAGTAGATGCTTAAGACACTCGGTGTATCCACGGCCTGCGGTGATGTGCAACGGTGTTGTCAACTCCTGCTCATATGTCAGAGACCAAATACCTGGAAGTGACCAGACAGCAACATTCTACATTCAGGATCAGTTCACACAGAAAACCAGGGCTGAAATTTGACCGTTCTCGATCTCACAGGAATGTTTATGCCTTGTGACATTTTACTTTCAAGTCTATTTGAACATACTCCCATCCATCTATTTTGTAACTCCAATACAGGCTCACAGGAATCCAGAGTGTATCCAAGCAACAGGCGCAAGGCAAGATACACCCTGGATGGGACACCTGCCTCTTGCAGGGCACACACAGACATAGACACAAACACTCCTACCAGGGCCAATTGTCCCAAAAGCCCATCAACCTGTCTTTGGCCAATGGCAGGAAACTAGAGGACCTGGATTAAACTAATCCAAATATGGGGAGAACATACAAACTCCATGCAGATAGCACCCCAGGAACTGTAACCAGGGCTCAAGGAGTACAACGCAGTGATGTTAACCACTGCCCTGCTTACCACTGCGCTGCTCCTCCCATTGTTTCATTTAGATTAAATAATGAGCAAATGAATTCTGCATTTATTTGGGTTTTGTTGTTATTGTGATTTGAGTTCCAAAAGCATTACTTTAGAAAAACCATCAGGAGGAATTGCACCCTTCCTCCTCCCCAGATCAAATTCCACACTTTTCCTAAACCAATCCGGAATAGGATAAACATTGCAATAATAACAACAATTAGTTTGCATTGAGTTTTAGAAGCTCTGGTGATATTTCTTTTTTGGTCTTTGTCGGTCGTCTGCCCAACACTTAAACATGAAATCCCTTTCTTGCACTTTATTAGAGTTGATTGATCTAGAAAATGCCAGTCTCATTTGTTTGTGGTATCAAGTTCTCACAGATCAGTTCAAATCTAAACCAAAAAGTCAAGTTAAACAAAATTCTGATTTGGGTAGAAAAGTGAAAGGCAATCCTAAATTAAAAAAACAGGTAAAGCTGTTTTATGTTTTAACACCACAAAATACATTCATTTATATGTGCTTTATGAGATATGCATTTAAAAATAATCTCAAATCAAGACTATAATCACATCATAAAGATAAATGAATTGATTGCTTTAATGCAGACATGATCTTGAGATCTGAAAATAGCTGCAATTTAAGAAAGTACTGTAGGTAAGATGCACAGATCCTTTAGCTAGTAAGAGTTTTGGGTAAATATTTGAAAAAACTTTGCAAATTCAAATCTCTCTGCAACATACAGTTGAGCAACTCTTGAGAATTTCAAAACATACAGAACCCATTTTTTTGTATTCTTTTGACAAAGAAAAATACTGCCACGTACGCAAACCCCTGTAATTGAATCTGTAGTTTTTCCACTCTTCAATGTTGCTTGTATCAAATATAGCACACTGTATCTGTCTCAGCTTTGGATCATCAATGATACTGATAATGGTGTGTTCATCACCAACCAGCAAAGCATTCCAGTATTGCAACTCATGGCCAGTGGCTTTTGCAGTAATAATAACATCAGTACGAATATTTTTCTTCGGACCCATTTGCCTGAAAAAGTCCTTCTTGTAGTAGTGGATTAGGGGAAGAAAAGTAGATGATTCCACAAAATGTTATGCAATATACCCAGATATAAAAAAGACCAATAAGGAATCTGTCTTCCCTTGTTTACAGAACCTAAAAAAAAAGGCAATCAGTCCTTCAGTCCATGGGGAAAGCTCTTTTACTTCTGAAGTTTGTTTGCCTGTTGAGCTTCTATTTAGGGAAGGAATCTTCTAATATGATATTTAACTTGGCTCAGTCACGAGAAAGATATCAGTGTGTAAAATGCTGTGACAGTGGGAATGCTGCATCTTGCCTTACCTTGTCTTGAGTCATCATTACTTAGCAATTCAGAATAAGATCTTGGCTCAACAAGCAGACTAGACTAAGACAGGATTTCTTTTTAAGTCTGAAGCTATATACAGTATACTGTATATCCACTATTATCTGGCATCAGTTTCTTCCTCCTACTTGTAATGCAGCATACTGAAATGTTACTAATGAAGTCTGACTCATTTTCTTTTTCATCAGCAGCTGATGATTTTATTAAAGTGTTTCTCCAAAGATCCCAATTATGCCATGGCCAGTCAAATATTTCTGCACTTGACACAACAAGCGCTCTGAAGAAGGATGCACAGCAAAAAAAAAATATAACGTAAGGGCCAAATGATGGTGACAAAAATAATTATTTGTTGGAAGCCAAGAGAAAAAGTTTAACCAAGACAAGAGTGTGTTTAGAATTTGTTTTTCGAAAAATGTTTCTGATGCAACTATAAACCATATATTAACTCACTATGCTGTATATGTACATGTACTGTAGCTGAAAATAATAATAATTCTGTCTGGCTGATGGTCACACTTACTTTGGCTGAAACACTCTTACCAAGACAAGAGGAATACCCCTACCTTTTTAGGAATATAAAGCTTCTAATTCAGAAAACAAATTAACAAACTGTGCTGGATACAAAAAAAATCCAACGTTACATCTGTGTAATGATGATCTAGCAAATGGAGAAATTCCCATTTTTATTTTTCTTTACAACTGTCTTTCAAAAATAATACATGGAAATATTCCCACTGAAATGGTTCTGTGATTTACAAAAAATAATAAGAGAAGCTTATGTGCTGTGCAAGTGTTACATAGGCTATGGTGCAGGCTTCAGCGATGGATTTCCAAAGAATGTGTGATGTGCAACTGTCTTCCTAGAATGCTTCTTCACAATCGTTGAGAGGCGTTTGAAAAACTGCTTTCGCTGGAACAGTTACCATAGCAAATCCAGTTCCAAGTTTAATGTATTATAATCTTTTATACTTTTCCTTACTTGCTTCCCCTCACATCCTCAATATCGTCTTGTTATTGAAAGGTTAGATTTGGCAGAGGAGGTGTATAAACCTTTGAGAGCACAGCATATAATTTTAGCAACTGTGCTCAAAAGTGAGGACCAGCAGCTGTTACAGCCAGTCATTTGTGTTGTCAACATCGGGGGGTGATTAGCTCAGTTCTTCAGACTGTGAGGTGATAGTTAAAGTAACTAAGAAAATATATAAAGCTTGAAAAGAGAGGGTAAAACAAAAGTTGAGCTGTTGTAAATGTTTATTTTAAGTGCAGCTAGTATACTTCTATTCTATTAATATTAATTTAATGATGTTTGACCAATTTTGTAAGGTAAGCACAGTAATAAAAGAACTGAGTTAATCCGAATCCTAAGACTTTATCTCTATAAAATTTGAAATGGAATGAAAATCTGTGAAAATATATAACAATACAGGAATCTAGACATTTGCTATAGAGTAGCTGGTTTGTTTTGTGTTTACAACATTGTGTAGATTATAATCACAAAACATTTATACAGGGGAAGATACATCACACGTGATTTTAGATAATTTCATTTGAATCAATTAATCAATAAATCAATTTTGTTTCAAAGATGCCTAGAGTATTTATGGCCTAGTTTATCTCCCTGAACATTTTGTTGTGGAGAATGTATTGGAATTTGGAGTGTTTAAGAAAATTCTACAGATGTTACTCTACTAAAATGGACGAAAAAAAAGTAACAAAAGAGAACACATCTTCTCCTCCAAATAGATGTCAGACAAATAAAGATCATGCATGTCTCTGTGTCATTAAATATTTATTGAATCACTCACATAACATGTGTAAAATATATAGGAACAACAAGCTCCATACTGAGTGGACTGTGTGTCACAGCTGTTAAAGATGGTATTGGGATTGTGACTTGAGTGTTGTGGGTCACATACAGTAGACCAGGGAATATGGTGTCCATGTCACCTCCCACTAGGGCATGCCTGGCCCTCTGCTTCTGAGATCACAACGTTTGTGCAAGTCATTCTGCAGGCTTCCATGAATATGCTTCTTGCCTGGCATGATGTTTTGGTTTTCAGTATCACTACACTGGAATACAGTTTGAATATCATTCAGAGATATGGCTTTCAAATACCATCTCTTGCCCACAAGAGAGGCAGCCTGCCCTTTTCCTCTTGTTTTTTTTTCTAATACTGAAAGAGATTTTAGGGTGTTTTGCTGTTTATTTGTCATATGTTTGTTGTTCTGTGAAGCACAAGTCAAACTTTTAATTTTTTTAAATCAGACATAAGACAGGAATGATAAGACCTTGAGAACTGCCCTACCCTTGAACTCCCTCCTGGTTTTAAACGTGTTACAGTCAAGATACTTTTTTTTACCTCTGGTCTGACCATGATCTGATCTGAAATTTAACCACTAAGTATGTTTAATGACAAATAAATAAACTGCGTGGATAAATTGTGGCGAAAGTTGTGCAACCAAAGACAATTTTTAAATTTAAATATTCTGTCAAGGCTGACAGCATCCTTCACATTTCCCCCACAATTTAGAAAACAAATAATTGCAGTTGTATGTCATAAATATTAACACCATTCACTTCATTTTCTTATTAATATTAAGCTCACTCAATGTACTTCTTTTCTGAAAGGGGTATAGTGTAGATTCAGGGCTTAAGATTGATTGGTCTTCTCACCAGAGTCTGCGAATGTTGACTTACACTCACAGAAAATACATTGTTGAAAATGTATTTTAAAATATCACACCACTAGATGGCAATGTAGTGTACAAGGTCCACTGTAAAATTCAGTTATGTGCTGTCAATGAAGTTATTAGGCTATGATTACTTTAAATTAAAAAATTAAGATGGCCATCATCAATGTAGTTATAATCCAATAAGGTGTTCATTTCTTTTATTTAAATATTGAAACTGTTATTAAAATATATTCACATTTACCACACACCTGTAGACTTTATGCGTACTCAGTGCAAGCAAAATCAGTAAGAAAAGCATTTGTCAAAGTGAAAACGTTTAACATTGAATACAGTGACACAGACAAAGCACTGAATAGCATTGAATTCAGGAATAGGATTTACAGGTTTTATATATCAAACTAGGACGTTTTAAATGTTTGAAAGCTTTTCTCTGTTCAATGTTTGCATTTACATTTTGTAGAGATGGTGCTGTAAAAAAACTACTTGTTTGTAAATGTTACAAGGACTTTTAATATAATTTAATTTAGCAGAATACACCTTCTATGGTGAATTTCATATCTAAATTTAGAATCATTAATTGCTCCTTCCTCAATTCTCCTTTTACTAGTTCCTACATTATGTAGCCTGTATCTGATAGCAGATATTATTTTGCTTTGATATGACTTTTGACTCAAGCTCACCAAACAACATTATCATGAGAGCATTGGAAGAGCATGTGGAAATTATTAAAGCATGAGATGGCAAGTCAGCTGACTGTTTAGGTTATTCTGAATATGTGCTATTTATAAACAAGTCTTTCAAGCTCTTGATATCAATTTAGCCCAATTCTCGAAAGGTACAATTAAAAGTACAATATAGACATACTGTACTGTAAAGATAATTACAGCATACTAGTAGTTCTATACATTTTAGACTGAAAAATGAAAGTTTAATTTTGGCCTGTAAGAGGATGTACAGAATTAAATACTCAGTTGAAAACATGATTTTAGTATGACAAAATGCCAGCCAGAATAATTAAAACAGAGTTAACTGTTTTGGGTCTGTCAATAAAATCCTTAATAATGAAGCTCTCCTTTCTTTACTGACATTTTCTTGTCACTAAAAAGATGTGGAAGTGATGCAATTTTATAAAACAACTTTCAGATATAAATAATAAAGAATTAAGCAGGTATACGAGGGAACATTTTTGTGTATTACAAGTTGTGCAAACAGTGCTTAAAGATTACTGTGCCAACTGATTTGAATCAAAGAATTCTCAACTTCACTTCCTAAAAGATGGTTTACTCTAGCAACCCTGAGAAAGCAGTTGCAGAGTTCTCATTAGACTCATTCAGTGAACATTCAGGTCTACAATAAAAAAGCAATTCTAAAAAGGAAGGATTGAACAAATCACAAAGATGTGAAGGAAATGATCAGAGGAAACAAATGCAGATGCATATGAAATTCTGAGTAAAATAAGTCTTTGTGTATAGGTCATAATAGCTGACAAAATTCTTATAAAAAATTCCAAGAATCAGAGGATCAAAACATGCAGTTATGCCAGGAATAAAACATTCTCCTATACTAAAGAGACAACATTTAGTCAAACACCTGAATTTCTTCTTTTTTTCCAAAATGTCCTGAAATTTTGTATTAAATATGCAAAATTATTTAATAATTGGAGGACTTAAAGCTGTTTTAAACAAAGAGTAACAGCAATCAATGTGTCTTCTATGCCTGGGTAATTTCGTTGTTGCTAATTATGCTCTGCAAAAGGTTAGAATTAAAATCCAGTTTCACTACATGACACCTACACTTGAGAATAGGCTTAATTACACTGTTGTTTTCTTTTGAAATCCAAATTTTAACCCTTGTAATACATTCCTATCTAAACCACATTTAAACATCAAGTCAGTCTGCTGGTGGACATCATGGCTTGTTATGGTTTTATCAATTAGAACAGAAGTGCACAAAGTAAGGATCTAAAGAGATGCTTAATTTCAGTTAGAACCATCAAAGTAACTGAGTTTGTGAGGAAACAAATAAAAAATCCCAAAGTCCAACCAATATGACACTGCAGGAAATACTTTAGAATGAAAACGTTAATAGCTTCTAATGAGCATAGTGTAGGAACAGCAAAAGTGTAAATCATTAAAGAAGATATTTGATTGGAAATCTACAAATATCTGTAGACCCACTCCACTTTAGATGAGAAGTCCATTTACTGAGATCCTACAGAGTAAAAACTGAATGAACAAAATGCAGAACTGTCATCCTACCAAGATTCCTGCTGACCCAGCGCAGGTCCTCCCCCCGTGACTCAATTATGAAGTTCACTGAACTTCCTTTGGGAAAGAGCTGCTGTAGGGTCTCCAGATCCCCTGTGAAAAGTGCATTATGGACCACCAGATCACGGCATACTGTTGGTGGTTCTGTTGGGCCTGTCTTCTCCTGTTGTCTGCCCTCCTTTCTCAGGAGATAGCCGTTAACCAGTGGGGCTGTGAGTCTTTTTTTGAGTTTCTGCCTCTCCAGCAGGTCCTCTTCTAGCCGAAAAGAGCGCAATGCCGTGGAGGTGAAGACAAAACTGTTATGCGACATGTTCTCCCACGAGCCTTTTTTCTGTTTTTATTGGTGTAACTATTTTCTAGGCCTTTTCTTAATTAACTTCAACACGTTCTCCTCCACTTCCGAAGGTTTGTTTTGATATGCAATATCAGACAGGCCCTTTGCTTGTTGGGAGGTGCTATTTATACACCACTTTTCACGTGGTATTTATTAAGTGCTATTTACAGTTGCTGCTACAGAGGACAACTGTTTCTTTACAATACAACATGTGTGGATAACTACAGAAAGGCATTAATGGAAAATTATTTTACCTGAAAAAATAAGGTAAAAATATATAAATATAATAGAAAAAGACATGATGTAGAAAGATTATTTACTACTGTTTCCTCCAATGTCACAAAATGCAACCATCCCATTATATAGATTGCTTTAATGCTCTGACCTACTACTTCATTTTCATCTACTTTTTCAACCCAAAGGGAGAACTAAAGAATCCAACAGCAAGATGTTCATGAATAGTTGGTCGCAAAGGTAAATTTGACTCACCATGCCAGGAGACACTGATAAGACATTGGATTCTACAACTGTATGTATAGAGAATGAATTAGACTCTCTGCATATATAAACATTCTCCATCCACTTTCAATCACTGCTTAGTCCAGTGAGTTGTGGCCTAACTGGCAGACAATTGGTTTAAGGGAGGATACTTCATGAATCGGATCCCAGTCCATCACAGTCAAAACCAACCCAATTCTAAATGTGAATGTAAAAATGTAAGTACTGAAAATATATGTGAAAAGAATAAAACAAACATCCTATTAGAAAGTCTGTTTAGTCACAATTAACCTAATTAAATTGCTATTAAAATAGTCAGGCTCGTTTCCCTTTGGTTCATTCATTCACACCTCTGGTTTCCTTTTTTTCTCCTTTCTTCCTATGTTTATATTAATGTTGGATTTATACAGTTTGTTTAGGTAACAAGTCTGTCGTACCATAATGGTTGTTCACATTTGTTCATTTATTGTATACGGTACCATGTAATATTCTTTGTTTTGCCTGAGAACCCAATAAATAAATTGAACATATAGTAAGTGGCAACCAATCTATTGGAATTTTTAATTTTCCAATATTTTTTGCTTAAAGTAGGATGTGTAGAAAAATAAACTGTTTTAATGCATTTTAATTCCAGGCTATATTGAAGTAAAAAATGAACATTTTGAAAGGAAGTGTAAACATTATACAGGCACTATACTGTAAATTGTTCACATGAACATATCAATACATGCCTGAAGAATTAGGTATTCTCCCTTGTGAGCAGGGTACAGACAAGCAAGGGCAGCATAAATACAGTATTCATTTAAAATAAGATTTAAATAGTTCTATTAAACTAATTTACAGTCATACAGGTCATATCTTTCATGACAATCACTTAAACCCAGAAATGTGTACATAAATACAGTGCCTTGCAAAATTATTTGCCCCATTTGGTTGTTCCTTTAGGTTGAATGATAAAATCTTGAGTTGTGATTAGAAAGAAGTTTCCTTCTTTCTAATAAAATAACTCATCAGTCAGAGGAGGACTCTGAGTGAGAGTATTTTTTTTAAAGTTAATATTTTTAGTAAAAACATGAATGTTCTCTTGAATGCTAAATACTGAAGTTTTACTGTTGAAAATAGTTTAAAGCAAACTCATAAAAGTGTTGTGTTTGAGCATTCTGATGACAAATATTCACCTTTAAAATGTGTATATACTGTATCATTTTTAATTAACAAAATGGGATATCAATGGAAGGGAGTGAAAACATTTGCAAAGTACTGTATAGTTCAGAATTAGCGTATAAAGCAAAAAATGAAGAAAAAAACAAAACCTATTTTCTAAAAATCAGATAATTTTAGTGTAAAGTGTTGCTTAGAGATTTACCTGACTGTTAACTGATAAAGGCACACAAAAGGGCTTCCTTTTGGCTGGGTTCTACTGCTGAAGCTCATCATGTCCAATCGATTAAACTTACATGATCATTTTATTAATGAAAAATGTGGACACTCCCTGATTCAGAGTATACAAATGTCTCTTCAGGGTTAAGATAGAATCCCTTAACAGTCTGAGAATGTAACTGTGGTCATGTTTGTGATAATTGCATATTATTTTGTTGAATTTAAGACATTTATAATGGAAACCCAAGGCATTTACACCATGCTGTTGTTAATGTCAAACAGAGACATACATAAAATGAGTATTTTGGCTCATCATTTACAGTATCATGCTACCACCATAATACACTTACATACCTTAAAAGATACCAAACACATATAACTTCTTCTGTTCCACACATTACCTTATTTTTCATTAAATTTAATCTTCACTCATTTTATAACCACTTTTTTATCTTTGGTATTCCAACTTAACATTTTGTTTGGCAATCAAAATTAAACTGATTTTAACACTGATTGGTACTGTACTTGTTGAAAAATGACATAATTAGATCAATGACTCTGTTTACCAGCCTGAACACATACTGTACCATAACAATTCATGAATGACCATGAAAAAGCTAGACAGCTGGCTTCATTTAAAAGATACTCACTAGCGTTTAAAACAGGTACAACATATATCAGAAAAAAAAGATGATTCACTGTGGCTTGCAAAAAGGCTCTTATAATAAAATACATGTGTGACATGGCTTTTCCACAGGTCATTCATTTTCTAACTTGCATGTTGATCTTATACTTAAGATATGCTAGTAAATATTTAATATCAAGTACTGTCTTGTGCTTTGCATAGTACATATTGCACAATTTTAAAATACGAAGACTCTGGTTACACACTTCTTTACTTGAGCGAGCTTCGAACTTCCCAGTGAGCCAGGATAAACAGTTGAATATTAATGACTAGTCCTCTAGGGGGCTGACAAAGCATGTCGGTGTCAGTTTATCAAGGTCTGATTACCAATTGGCTACATATTAAATAATAAGAGAAAAAAATACTCATGATTGTCCAAAGGACAGGCTCAGTGAAATGTGGATGTTGTGTTCTTGTTATATTTTTAAAATTCATATTACAAGTACTTACACCATCAAAGACAGAAGTTTAATTGATTAAAATAAATGCCATGAGAAAGACAAAGACTTTGGATTAAAACCGATCTATAGTGCATAAGCATTCTTTAAAGATACTTTGCTTAACCTTAACTTACTGGAAAAAGAGCTTCTGATTCAGTTACAAACTATGAAAAGAATCACATGAATATAACTGAGCAAAACAGACCTTTTCAAATATTGTGATATACTTTTAAATATATATTATTAGGTTCTGACTGTTTGTAAGCCTTATATTTTATTGCAATTTGAAGTGCAATTTCAAAAAAGATAACTTGAAGATAAAACAGTAATTGAGAACTAATTTGCTTTTACTTTATACGCCCACATAAACAAAAAAAAAGCAAAAACACAAAATCAGCCAGATGAAAAAAGGTAATGACTGTGAGATAATGCATGTTCTAATTTTTATGATTCAGCAGAAATGACAGGTTTGTGCTACAGCACTGCTTTTCATTTTTTCTTCTTGGGTCCTGCTTTGCCTTTCCCCTTAATTTGATCTTCCTCTTCACCTTCCTTCCCTAATGCAGCTCTTGCTCGTTTCTTTCCCAGAGGAGTTTTAGTATACCAGTTCTGGAAATTAAAGAAAAATGTGATCTAAAATCAGTAAATTTAGATAAATTGTAATAAAGTATCTATTTGTTATACAACAATGGTACAACTCATGATCTGTCATAATGGAAAATATCAGTATGTAAAAAAAAACAACTATGCACTGTATAGGGTTAGAAGCATCTCTTGGAAATTAAATAATTACAGGATATTTGTTATTTACTTGAAGATATTAAAATCCAACAAATGAGTATTGGTAGCATACTGTATATTGTATGTCTATAAAACATGAATTAAAGGTAAACAAAAGAACCAGAGAGACCCAATGGAAACTGGCTTTATTACCTTAAATGCCTCCTCTTCATCTTGAAACACAGGGTCAATTTTGGCCAGGGGGGCAACAAATTCAGTGGCTGTCAAGGGTCGCTTTGCCAGTTGCTGTATACGGCGCTCAGTTAGAATTGTTCTGACCACTTGCACCATATGTCCCTGCGTGTACCCATCTGAAATCTTAGCCAATGAGCTCAGGTCTAAGGCACTTGTGACTTCACCACCATTTTCTTTTATCAGTTGTCCCCACATAACTAGGATATCAAAGGAAGAAAGTGTTTTAATAATGTACACATACATAACACTTTATTTATTTTTAAATAATTGTACTGAATTGTTTTAAGTACAGTACAAGAATGTTCCTGTATCATGAATATTTCTATGCTGATCTCCCATTTTTTTATCCTTAAACACTGTTAACTTATTAAAGAATCCTACAATATGTAATGGAAAAGTATATTGTCAGGAATATCTCGGGAAACCAATTATGAAACTTCCATGTATTTCAGATTTTTTCTCTATACAGTGATGTCTTGTGTATAAACCCCTATGTACTGTATACAGTATATACTGTATGTTACAGCTAAGAGTTTAGATAAAGTGTGGCATGGCATTGTAAACATTTCCAGATTCAAAGCAGAGGGGATGTAGGGGGTCCAGACACTGTGATGGAAAGCAATCATAATGTTTACCTTGGTTTACCTAGTTAATTAAGTTGTGGGTAAATGATTAACTGTCAATAAGCAGTCCGGAAGTTTGATCACATCAAGATCACAGAGGAGAAGAAGAGGAAAATAATATAATAAAGAATAATAAAGAAAGTCAGAGCGCAAGAGAGAGAGGAATCTGGAAGAGTTGAAGCTTGTGCCAGGCAAGAGCCCCTACTTCATGACCATCCAGACAAAGCCCAAGTAAAGTTAAGTATTTGAACCTTGCTAGGAAGAGCTGGCTATTCTGTGTTTTTAGGGAAACTTGATTTCCTGAGTCAATAATATCTTGGTTAAAAATGGCCTTTCCTGTTAAGGGGTGCATTTTTAGAATAGGGAGATAGGCTTCTGTTTATTCTGTGTCATCTGGGCTAGCAGAGAGAGAGATTTAACTGCAGGTTGTATTGCAAGCTATTTAATTATAAGGCCTCATGGCCTCGGTAGGAATTTTTTAAGACCTTAATACATGGTAGCATTCTGTGTTAGGATGCTATGCCTCTGAAATGCCTCTGTAAATTTGTAAATACTGAGATTTGTGTGTTGTATGTTTAGTTTTCTGTAGTGTAGTGTTTGTGTTGTAATTGTTAATAAACATTTGTTTAACCAAGTCGGCCTGTATTATTACTCTTTTAACCAAAGCTGTGCCAGAAAACAAAGAATTCATGATTCTCTAACTATACCAACCACTCGGGTATTTTCTTGCAGAAATAACGTACAAGTTGGGGGTTATGAATATTCGTTTTACTTATTGACTAAACTGTTCAGTCAGTTCCTGACATTTACCATTTTTGTAACCCCCCCTTTGTAACGATATAAAAGTAAATAAAAACAATCTGTGTATCTAAGCTGAATGCAGCTCAGTGGTAGCAGACAATTAATGGGCTCACCATATCTGGATGCATAGTCCGGGCGTGGAATGAGGATGATTTTGCTGTAGACTTTGCTGAGGGACTTTATATCTGCATTGAAAGGTTGATGAGATGTACCAACAATCAGAATCCTGTCTTCACCTTTAACAGATTTTAGAATCTTCGGCAAATCTTTTTTAAGGCGTTTTGGATCTAACTGTTTACAAAACAAAAAAAGAGATAGTCCAAGGTAAACGTTATTTGCCATAATAACTTGATACACAGAGTATGTAATAGCAATGTTATGCAAATACAATTGATCAATTCAGATTTACCTCTTTCTCATCTTTGGGGACTTTTTTATAAAACATTTTTTCAGCATCTCCAATCCATATCACAGAAGGCTGCATCAGTCTGGCAACCTTAAAAAATGCATAATAACAACTTAAAACTGAGATCCAAAACTAATAATAATAAAAAAATACTTGTTTAAGGCAGAGACTTGTTGGGTAAGAACACAAGATTCAGTAGCATTTAACAATACTGGAGGTTTAAGACTAGTGCATAGGTCATAGCAGAATCATGCTGAATTTGGTAAAAAAATATGGTTAAAAAAGCACACTATGGTTTTCAATAAAAAACTAAAGTCAATAGTGTCTCAGAACTTTACCTTAAACACCATATGCAACATCATTTGTAACCCGCTCTTTCCAGGGTATTTCCCAGCAATATTGAGAGGGGAGAGGTCGAAGAGGTTGGCACCTGTTTCAGTGCAAATGGCATGAACAAGCATCTTCTTGCCCACACCAGCGGGGCCAGTTAACAGGATCGCCTTCACCAATGGTGCCTTTTCATGTACAGCCTGAGAGCCTGTTATTTATTTACAGTACATGTATTTAACTTTCATTAATGTGATAAAACATGTGTTGAATAAAGTAAAAATCAAAAGAAAATATTAATGCTATATACTTGTTTAATTTATCTGAGTACTTACAGGATTTCAAGGTACATATTTACTAGTCCAGAGTAATAGAAATGTGCATATATATTTAATTTGAAATATTATTTGTAATTATTTGTACAGTAGAAACTTTTGTATAAGATGACGTAATGTTTTTAAGAGAAAAGCATGTTATATATACATACAGTATATCAATTACCTAACCCACACAACTATTTAACTTAATTTCTTGGAAGCTATAATGTGAAACAATATAAAGAATTATATAGTATTTAAAAGTTTTACATGTAAATGTTTTGAGGCAAAGTTTCATATTTTTAAACCTTGGTACACTGTGCAAGAAAACATCCTATCACACCAATAGTGAATCTTCGCTGAGTCAGTCAGTAATTATGATGAAAAACAATATCAGGACTCATTGAATACAAAACAAGTGAGGATATTAAATACCTAAGGGTATGACGGCATACAAAGCTATGACTTGTCGCACATCAGACAGAGAAGGCATTGGCTCAATATCTGTTTGGCGCAGTGTTGTTCCCAGGTAGCTATAATCACCTAGGTAGAGAAAACAAAAAAACAATCAATTTAAGTTAGATCTTAAATTAATTTGATTTAAAGAAAAAAAAAACAATGAACTACAACAACAAATTCCATTTAGAAACAACTGCAACAGTTAAGTATATATACGCTAATATATTAATTTCCTATGTATTCACCATGACAAACCTAAACTAGTTGATGTGTAGAAAATTACTTTTTATTACTCTTTAACTGTGTGCAATAATAGAGGTTCGTGAGACTAAGGAGGAATAAAACTGCTAACTCAGAGATAAAGTTGTAGAAAGACACAGATCAATAGGGCTTAGTATGTATACTGTAGGTAAGGCATTATTACAGCAGAGAACAAAGGTACAGTATTAGAAGGAGGAAAGGAAAAGAGAATACCTAAACATCACCTCCATAGAAGTGATATGAAAGCTGTAAGTGAATATCAGTGGTCCTAGGTAGAGTGTATAGGGAATAGTAGGGTAACCAGGATTGAGGTTTGGTGACACGCTTGGAGACTGACTCAGATACAGATATTGATCTGGGAAGTAATCCATGTGAAAGTGGTGCCAGAGATTCCTAGGTCAGCAAGTGTGAAGATAGAGGTGATGTGGTGAAGAGCTTGAGGATCTCAACTATTGTAGAGAAGAAGGAAGTAAAGTCATCATCTGAGATAGAGGAGGGGGGAGGAGGGATAAGAAGATACATAAAAAAATAGTGGATTGTTAGAAGACTAATATGATTGATTGGTGAAAGGGGTATTTGGCAGCAGTGAGAGCTAAAGAAAAAGATAAGAAAAATAGCAAGAAATGAAAGGCTGAGGGCTGTGTACTGTAGATCTCCTCTAGAGATGAGGTGAGCGAAGATGATGTACTGTAAGTAAAATGACTGGGTGTGGCAAACTTAAGTTTACAGAAAGAAGAGAAAGAGAACAGAAAGAAGAGAGCTGACATAAAGGGTTGGATTGGAATTAATACAGATGGCAACTACAAGACAATTACAATTATAAAAGTGGATGTTTAAGATTATTAGAGTAGAGAGGGAGGAAAGGGAACAAAAGAGGATTTAGTGAGCAGAACTGGACATTGGTAGAGAACAGTGAGAAGTGACTGAGAATGGGAAGTTATTTCAAGAACGTTAAATTCATAAGAGTTATCATGGAGTTATCAGCAGATATCGAGGCTGATCACAGAGCAAGTCCAAATCCGGATGGACTGTAGATATGATCCCCGCTTTAATTAAAGCCAACTAGCCATTCCAGAGAATACCTTTTATGATGCATGGCCTTAAAGAAAGGAGGTAGAGGTAAGGAGATTAAGTGAGAAGAGATGCATCCAGGTTAAATAGGTGGAACACAAAGCGTGGAATGAGTGTCTTGGACAAGGGGGCTACTGAGAAGAGAAGAAAAAGAAGAGCCAAGAGTGAGGGGTGAATGGTGAGAGCAGGAAATGAGAAAGAAGGAGGAAGCAGAGCTTGTGCAGAGGCAGAAACAGGGAAAGTCTTGCTGTGCTTCTTGTTTACTTCATTTGTCATTTTCTTGAAGGACTCCTGCAGGCAAACTCTGTGGGACTTTGTGTCTGAGAGCTGTGCTAACACTGACACTGAAACCCACACCAGTGGAATGAGACACACTTGGTAACACCAACGTGAGATTAATGAGGGTGTACAGAGTACAGTGTATGGTTTTTGTGTCAGTCTTTAATTAAGATAATTTAAGTTTGTACTGAAATCCCAAATTTGCTGCTGGATTTAATGCCACACAGCCACACCAATTAATAACTAATGCTATCCAACAAAGTGAATGACTGACTTCGTATATTTTGTGAAAATGACCAACATCAAATTGTCCAAATGACTATTTAAGGTGTACCTTTATGTGCCAAGGTATACCATCATTTGTCTATTCTGGCTTTATTAGACATTTTGTAATAGATATATACTACTGGAGAGTATGTTCAAATTGAGTGTATTTTTCTTAAGACTGGGCAGTTTTAAATCTTTCAGTAATCTCTAATGTGATTACTACAAAAAAGTAATAACAAAAAGTTCAAGAAAAAAGTTGATCTAACATAAATAATCAAGCTATGGTGACAGCTTCAATAATCCCAATTTCGAATCAGAATGCTGTATTCTCTCAAGAAATCAGACCACTTAAAGACAATTTTAATTTTCTAAAAATATTATTTTATATACTGTATGTAATATATATTTATTTTGTGCCAATGTACCCATTTGAAAGTAGAGCTCTTTTTGGTACAAGGCATCCAGATTTCATATATTAGTGATGATGACTATCTTTATGTGATATAATGAAAGTGATCTGTTTGGAAACGACACAGAATAAAATGAAAAAGAAATGGAAGCAGAACCCATAACTGCTTACTTGGCGTCACATTATTCATCAGGCACCACACATTTTCTATTATGCTGCATTATATGACCTCTCTTTAAAATGGTCATTTCTGCATATCAGCATTTCTGCTTACATTATGTTACTATAACATCTTAACAAGCTGAAATTCAATGGTTAAAAATATGTAGGTTCAATTTAATAGATAATATGAAAGCCATCATAATATAACACTCCTGAATGTTATGGTTTTACTTACTGTATACAATCATGGTGAAACCCAAAAGACAGTATGAGGAATCAGTTTTAACTGTAAACCTTCTTCTTCTAAGGAATGCTATTGTTTTGTTCAAATGCAGAACAAAAAACAGCTTCTCACACATTGAGCATGTTGTCTATGATTATTGTCTTCCTATAATTGTATTACAATATATGTGACAGAACGAGAAAGGAGAAATATGGATGAAACAAAAATATATAAAAATAACAGGATAGTATAATCATAATTACCTAAATAGTCCTCCAGTTGAACCTTTTGAGCTTGTTTAAGCAAACCCTGCTCCACCAGCTCTTGATATAAAGATTCAATACTCCTGTAAACAATGATATGATCAAGAGAAATGCAACAGATTTGACACCACTAAAAAAAGAGTTGGTCCTATTTACATAAGTAACACTACTGTAATTATAAGCCTTGCTAATATGAGTAGCCCGTTCATTTGATAAGGACAATTTTAATTTAATAATATGAATAACCTAACAAAGAGCATACTCTAGAGTATTAGACAATGCTTTGTAATAGTAACAAAGTAAATATAATCCCACAATAAATAATTTATAACAAATGTTTTAGTCTTTTCCTTGTTTTTGAATAAAATGTGCAGTATGCAAAACAACACCAAAAGTGTACACTGTGAACACAATATATAAATGGTAAATAGTGCTTGCAGTTTATGTAGATACAACCAATATAAGTAGACACATTCAATTTTTTTTCATTTTAATATTACAAATGGGCTCACCTGTCTGCTGTCAAATCTTTGTCTTTCTTTTTCTTTTTTCCACTCTTTCCTCCTTTCTTTTTCTGAAAAAATCACAAATGCAGTTACTGCAGTAAGAAAATAATAAGCTACTGATAAATTCAAAATTTAAGTCACAAAAATCTTTGAACGTCAAAATCTATATTGCTAGTAATTGATCCATCTTGTTGATCAATAAAACATTACAATTGTCACTTGCCTGCCCTTTTATACTAACTAAATAGACTAATTAATTAATCAGGGTTGCCTGATCAAATAGGCCTATTAATTTTAATTGTACAGTGAATTTAGTGATGAGTATGAGATTTGCATTTTGTCTTAAGTAAGGTGCACGTGAAGGTTTTGAAACTGTTACAGTTGTTTCCATGTTAAAAAATGCTAAAATCTAGTTGTGAGCAGTAGAAATGACTGTGATGCTGCATTTCATAACTTCAGGGAATTTCTGAAAGAGAATAAAATCTCACTAGAATATTCAAAATCAACTATTCATATTAAGTAATACAAACTTATTTATTACCAATTCTAAACTAATTTTAAAGAATTATATTAATAACAAATATTGCCTTTGCAAAATAACAAATTAACATTTTACCTTAGCATTGCCTTTGGGCTTCCCTCCTTTGTCTTTGTCCACAGCCAACTTCAGATTGGTCAATTCCTGTCTCATTAGCTCATCTACCTAATAAGGAATAAAATAAAGCCCACTCAAATGCAGTCTACACAGTGTCATGCACAAACAACACTGAACTGATACTCTCCCAGTTTTGAATACACTGCTCTCACAGTTTCACAAGTCTCATGGGGTCCACAGCAGATTTAACTTTGATTGGTATTGATTGTGGAGTGATGCAGATTTCATTGACAGCCCTGCAAGCTCATCTGCAGCTAGCAGTTCACAAGGGTCACTGGTGTTCACAAAGCTAAGAATATCCTGTATAAATTTATCCTATTGAGCCCCGGTGATTCTTTGTCAATTGAATACCCCTGCTCAGTAATTTTGGTCACAGTCAGCTAATGGCAGACCAGACATGAAACCAGTAAAGTCTGGACAATAGGGCTCAGCTGAAACAATGCTTTAAATGGCTGAAGCCCCCAAACTGGCAAGATTTTAATATGTGTTAATAGTATTAAATACTGTATAGTGGAAGGCATTAAAAACATGACAAATGCCTTTTGTTACAATACATATTTGATGTTTTTAATGCCTCTTATTATAGTATGAATCAACAGAAACAAATATATATATATATCTCATCAAAACTCTTCAAAGACAATTCAATTCATTTTAGTGTGATTTTCAGTTCCTAAAATCTTAGAAACACAGATTAAAACAGACAAAACACCAACAGACGAATTTGTCTTGATTTAAACATTTACAGAGCTTGCTTGAACACAGCTATTGCCTTTTTGAAGATGCCCAAAATATGTGGCTCTTCATTAAGACTTCTGAAAATGATTTATTTTTTTAAGAAATTGATTTATTCATGTGCTCCTATCTGTTTTAAAGAAAATGTAGACTGCAGAGGTAATGTGAATTCAGCAAAAATGGAAAAGATCATATCAAAATAAAAGTTCTGGAATGGAGTATCCCATGCCTGAATTCTGATTTCATCTTCGATTTCTCTCCTCTTCTCTTCTTTGATCAGCTCAGCTTCATGCGTCTGATTGAAGTTCTTAGCTTCATTGCGGGTTTCCCAGACAGCTGGAAATTGAAAAGAAAAGGTCTTATGCTATTGTAGCAGACAAGAAATGTAATTGTAAAGCAGATGTAATGTATGTACATTTTCCATACTCTACAGATGCTACACTCAACTCTCACAGCATTTTTGTTTAGATATGGTATTTACTTTGGATTTAAAAAATATTCACACTCTTACAATAGTGTCCCATTTTGCTGAATTACAAATCGTGTATAAACATTTTAAAATATTTTAATTAAAATTTGAAAGTTCAAATCAAAATGTTCAGTGGTAAAAGATGTTAATATCAGCAGAAACAGCAAAAGAAAACCGAAAACTAAAATATATTGGTTTGGCCAGTTATGGCAACAATTATACCTGAGAGTCTTTCTCAATGAGTCTGTATAAAGTTGCTTACCAAGATGCTGCAAATTTTGCTCATTCTCCTTTGCAAACTAGCTCAGGCACGATCAAAGGACATTCACTTTGAGCTTGTTAAGCCACTTCAGTGTATCTGTGTCCTCATGCTTTAGGTCATTGTCCTAATGAAAGGTAATTTGTCTTTCTAGTTTTAGGTCTTTAGCAGACTGAGGCAGGTCTTCCTCTAATATTTGCTTCATCTATTTTCATACTTATCTTCAATCAAGATAAGCTACCCAGTCCCTGCTGATGAAAAGCAGCTCCATAACTTAGTGCTACCACCACAGTGCTTGATAGTAGATATGGGGTTGGAAGGGTGATGCATTATGCTGGGCTTGCACCACATGTAAAGGTTGAATTAAGTTCTTTTGCAACATCTTTGCAGTATCACTTACAGTATTTGCTTTGTTGCAAACTCCAAGCGGGATTTGAGATGAGATTGCCGCATGGTCCAACAGGCCAATTCTGTGGAGTGACCACGATATTGTTGACTCATGGACATTATTCCCATGTCAGGCATTGGAAATGATAGGTTTTTTAAAGATGCTGTTTGCCTCACAGTTACATCCTTTACTAGTTTTCTTGTTCACCAGCTGCTGAGTTTGGAGGAATAGCCTGATTTGGCAGTGTCTGGTTGGTTCCATATCTTAATGATTGACTTTGCCATGGTCAAAGGGATAATCAGGTTATCTATTTTTTACACTCCTGTCTTGATCTGTGTCTTTCTACAACAATATCTCTGAGTTCTGAAAGTGTAATGGTCTTAATTTTTTCATCTGCGCTTGAAATTCACTATATGACAGTGGGACCTTGTAGAGATAGGCACAGTATGTCTATTCTGAAATTGTGTGAACCACTATTATTGCACAAAGAGGAATGCCACTCACCTATTTTATGACTTTTTGAATTTTGTGCACCTAAAGAAAGTTAGGTTTGCCATAGCAAAGAGTTTAAAAGTTATGTAATAAATGTAATTTGTAATTAAACAAAACAGCACATCACTGGAAGAGTGTGAATACACCTATATAGCACTGTAGTTCTCAAGTGCCCACATTTAAATATTCTACAATATATTCAAAAAACTTTACAAAAAGTTTTTTTTTTATTGCATTAAGTCTTTTTACTTGGTACTCAATTGTGGTTATTTGTAAAAATATTTTAAAAATAAATCAGCAAGGTCTGCAGATTTTTCTGAAAAGGGAATCATTACAAATTAAAATAAAATAATTCCATGTTATGTATTTATTTATCAAAGTAATTTGTACTTTATTAATGAATAACTTGTTTAAAGTCAAGGTAATTAATTTTATTGTACCATGTGGAACAATTTCAACTGATAGGTTGACACAGCTTCATTTGAGAGTTTATAAATCTAAGCCATCAGAGAGTCATCAGTCTTGTTTAGAACAATTTATACGATTTGCATTTGAATATTGAATATGCATTCTTCTTTTACTATATGCAAAAGTTTCAACTGTGCATTCTTCTAATGACTGAAATAATGTTTTATTGGTGTAGATATTTCAACTGGATTTTCTATCAGAAAATGTCTTAAGGCTAACTGACAGAAACCAATGTGCTTTAATCAATTTGAAATTGTTTTTTGTTGAAGAGACATCATTGGATGTTGAAAGACAGTTCAAGTATCATGAGAGGTCCAATCATTTATTTGTGTGTTGTGTACTAAAAATCCTATCTGTGCCTCAGATATGGGATCTCTCCTGAATGTTATACAGGGGTTAATTTTTTATATTTCAGTCAATTTCAAGGTAAGATCTAACTTATCTTGACTATATGGTATATCCATGCCAAAAGAGGGAAAAACAGAGCTTTAACATTTATAATGTAACTACTACAATACATTCCGAATGTATGTTTTTCTAGAATGATTCAAATATTTTGAGCTTACTTTACATTTTTTGGGAAATTTAATGCAGATTCTAGATTTGTATTTCTCACTTGTATAGGTTGTATGTCCATTTTCAATTTCAGACAGAAAAGCAGATGGAAACATTTTTAGTCCAGGTTCCTCTTCCTGTAAGATAAAATAATAACAACATTATGCATCCTGTAATTTCTCTGCGCTGCTCTTTTGTCTCGTTTTTTTTTACTATGTCTTTACACACATTAATAAAACACATAAACATTGCTTATAAATTAATGGACATTAGGATAAAAACAGAAATACTGTACTGTCATTTCTCAAAGCCCCACAGGCTTTTTTCAGCATCAGGACCAACAAAATTAAAGAAGCTTGCATTCTAAGTATCTGAGTGACATGCTAAATTTGACTGATGACCAATTATTTGGCAATACAGTTAGAAAATGAACTCCGCAGTATGTTTTACTTCATTTGATGAGCATAACTATTTTGTGCAATATTAAAACATAATGTGAAAGCTGGAGCTTTTGCAAATGTTAAGGAAGACTGCAAGAAAGCCAGTGTAGTGTCCACCACCCATTATGGGATATACTAAAAGATTTATATGACCATTTAAAGTAAAAGCACAATTTGTTTGATGGAGCTGAATATTTATGTTTCAAGCTTATTTTTTTGTTCTTCAAACTGAAAACAAGGATGAACCTTGTAGATGGAGACCCTTGTAGATAGAAATCCTCTTGTTGCATAACTAGATTTGGCCAACAATAGTCATGACAAACATTTCCAAAACAGATTCCAAAACAATAAGCAACTTTATTGCTCTTGATCTGAAACATACTCACCTCCTCTCCTTTCCCTTTCTTATCCTTATCTTTCTTTCCCTTCTCATTCTTTCCTTTGTCCTTTTTGTCATCTTTTCCTTTGGTTTTTTTGTTGGCTTCTTCTTCTTCTTTGGCCGCCAGTTCCTCTATTAACTAAAATGAAGCCAAGCAGTCAAGGATCAATTATAAAATATTTTCTTTTGTTTTCTATCATTACTAAACTTATTCAGACTACCTACATTAACACAGAATAAAAAAAGATACAAAACAACTAACTTAAACAAAGATGACTGACTTAAATCAAGAGATTTCATCCATCCATGAGAGAGCTGGAGCCAATCCTGGCAAGCAACGAGAGCAAGGCAGGGTTCAACCTGGGCAGGATGCCAATCCATCGCAAGACACACACAGACACAAACATGCACAGACTCACATGTGGGCCATTTTTATCAGAAGCTAAGCTGGTGCACCCACTGTGAACTTACGTAGACACAGGGAACATGCAAACTAACGCAAACAAGGCGAGAACATTCAAATTTCATGCAGATAGCATGCCAGCAATTGAACCCAGTGCCCTAGAACTGCAAGGCAATAATGCAAACCACTGCACCACTCTGCCACCTAAGAGAGTGCAGTAAAACAACACATCTGGCTGATAAAATATTTTATAAATCACAGGTAGGGTAATAGAGGTTATTTACTGCTAATATAAAAAATAAATCACAATGTTGGATTAGAAAATTCAAGTTACAGTTTCTACCAACCTGCTGGGGCGTTTTCTCTGCAAAAATCAAGGCAGAACCCCCATCTTCATCTTCAGGATAATCAGGAAAGCTGCCAGTTGCATCACTTAAAAAAAAGAGAAATGTTTTGAGGTGCTGCAAATAAATTTTGACATCAATTAAAAGCTAATTAAACAGAAGAATAGGGTTTTTATATGCTGAACAACATATAGTACCTTGAAAAGTATTCAAGCCCTTCTAATGATGTCCCATCAACATATTTAATTTTGATTTTTCACTGTAATTTCGTTGATGTCACACCTGCTGCCAATCGGAATCCTCCACACAAACGATCTCGCCCCAGTCAAGCACCAGATGGAGGCAATCCCCGCAAACGCCGCAGATCAGAGCCATTAACCAATCAGGACAGCCCACTGGTTACTGCACCCTCCACATCCAGACTTATCTAAACCCTCTCCTACTCTCATCTCATTGCTTGGTATTGGTAGCTCCTTAGGAACTTCTTGCCTTGCATTTCCTCTCTTGCTCTTTGTAGTCTTACTAGTGGCCTTGAATTCGGAACCTGTTCTCGACTTCGTTTCTCATCTAGTGATTTGGCTTTGGTAGTACCGATTACTTTCCCTGTACACATCTTTTCTGACCTGCGTCCAGAATCACTGCGTGCCTTACAGTTGACTTTTTAACTTGTTCCGCCCATGAACGTGTCCAGTTTAAGAAGCTTGATTACAAATGTTTACTTTTAAAAAATGTGCAGAACAAAATGGATCATCGTTGGGAAGGGATTAATTCTTTTGCTCAGCACTGTTTATGTTTAAACACACACATAAATGTACCATGTCCAAGAGAAACAAAACAAAAATAACAAAACAGAAAAAAGAACTGGAAAATACAAATCAAAAAAAGAAACAGTTAAGGGAATCTGTCACTTTCCCCAAGAGCTGACACTTTTGAAAATCATCCTTACTGGCACTCAATAAACCATTGGCGGATCTGATCTTTCATGGTCTCTTTCATGTCAGGTCCTTCCACATCCCTCAACTTGTCTTTAATGGTGATTCGAGTTTTCTGAAACTCCTCCTCATGCTCTTCTTGCTTTTGACGCCTCTGCCCTTCAGTGACTTGGGCAGTCTTCATGGCAGAAGAGGTGTGGTTGTGTTGTGGACCCAGAGACTTTTTGGTCAAAATAAAAAAAAAAGAAAATTAAGTATTAGAAAATATATGTCCAGGAAGTTGAAAGAACTTTCCTCCAAGAAGTAAACTGACAATAAATGCATAGTATTTATATGAACACCCCTCAGTTTCAATTCTTTGGCTGCTAATGAACATTTGAAAAGCCTGTCTTTGATTTCTATAGGAACTGTCAAAGTGGGAATAAATGCAACAGAAAACAGCAAAAACGAGGGTGTTTGTACAGATAGGACCACTACATCTTTCACCTGCCTACATCAATCATCTAGTCTCGGATTACTCTGCAACAGGAATTCTGTAGCCTCTGGTCCAACGATCCTGAGCAGACTGTCTCCACAACCTGCTATCACAATGCGGGTACACACTCAGTATACTCAGTATCAAAACTCTGTTAAAGACCTCTTTAATACTGCACTTTAACTATAGATACAGCACTACACATGCCATTAGAAACAGGCATCCTACAGTACATGAATGGGTCCGAAGCATTTCGTAGAACTTGACAAGATTTGCAATATCACTGCAATAAATCACAATGTACATTTGGAAAGAATATAACTACATCCTGGAGTTTCTCTTGCTGCAAAAACTGTTAATTATGCACAGTTATTTTACTACTATTTTATTAGTAGAAATGTGTGAAAGCATTTGTTTAAGATTCCTTAAATAATCATAAGGGTGCCTTCAACACAGATTGGAGTACATTTGTTAAATTACGTTAAGTGATTATTAAACCACCAGGTGACTTCAAACTGCTGTTCACCATTGTGAAACTTAGCAGGTGGGCACACCAAATGACAGGCAAATATATTGCTTTAGGCTATAAGTATTATTGCATTAACTGCTTATCTGTTTTATTTTCTCACATTACCAATACTTTATTTCTTACAAAAATTAAGATTAACATTTATAGAAAATAGTGGCACTAGTTTAGCATGCTTCCTTACATACACAAAGGATCCGTTTATTTCCCTATAGAATGTAATAATTGATTGTTGATTAAATGTTAAATTCACATACTGTACTTCTGTTTCTAACTGTGGAACAATAGTCAGGGAATATTTGCAAAACAAATACAGTAAAACAGACTAAAATACAGTTAAAATAAAAAAAAAAAATATAAATAATAACCACTCTAAACTCAAAATATCTTCAGTCCTGTTAGTTCCTTCCTCTTAAATCACAATTATCTACTATACAGTTACAAAGCATTATCCTATGAGTTAACCTATGAGTTATCATTGATTTAAAAATAATTTACAATTACTATGTATGGTCAAAGATACTGTATCATCTCTCAACTAACCAAAGAAGTTAAATCCCTCATTACAATACATCATTATACACTTAGAAGGAATGAACATTTTCATTTTTTCTAATTACAAATATTATTTCACAGTGGGCACAGAATTTACTAACAAATCTTTTTTTATAATACCTTGCTAATGGATCACAACCACAGAAAAAATGCTACAGTATACTTAAAGGGTGATAGGCTTCTTAGATCATTCCTAAACATCAGAACCAAAGATAAATAGAAAATTCAACTAACTGAACTCTCAAGGGTTTATCAATGCAATATAAGCTTAAATATGGCAAAGCCCAGAAACAATTTGCATTTACTAGTATCAGTAGATGCCCCAGTGGATATCAAACCACTTATTTATTCTTTTAATAACAATCTGTAGAATAACTTTGGTCATAAAACATGTGGTTCTGCATTTCATTGAAAAGTAAATGGGAAAGTTATATTTTTAAAAACTAGTTTTCCTCAGCACTCCCATTAATTTATTTTAGAATGGAAGTCTTTCAGTAAATTTCTTAGGATTCTATAAATACAAAAATAACAACTGAAACTTGTCTTCTGTTGATACATAAATAAGATGGAGTACAGGTGTGATCAGAGTTAATTTTCTTTACGACTTAACAGGTCTGTACGAGAGAATGACAACCTGCCTGTGACAACAAAGATGCTGTAACCCCCATTACAGAGATGCAGAATTCTTAAGTTATGAAGTTTGAAAATAAAATATGAATGAGGATAAGCAAGATGAAATGAAGAAAACGGGATGTGAAAAGTCCGATGGAAGCCTCAGAAATATTTCCAAGTTAGCCAGTGAAAGTGGATAGTTCAGAGCGTGAAGCCCTGAAGAATATTGTTTTGTGTGAGGGTGAGGAAGGGGTTACTAGAAAATACGAGAAATCGCAAAAAGTGGATGAGGAATTTGAAAGGGGAAATGCAGATATATTGTGAAGTAGGTACTGTATCTGGGGGCATTGGAGGGACCTGTTGCCTGGATCGCAACCTGAATACCCAAAGGAGCAAGGATCATAGTGCAGATGCTGGGGTTGGCAAGGGCCTTCATGACAAAGACAGAGGAATGCAGGGATTGCTGAAGTCGCAAAAGAGTGAAGGTGGGGAAAGAGAGGACAGATATAAATGGCAGGATGGTCGGCAGCCAGGTGGAACTCTGTGAAGGGCCAATGTCATCAAGGTGAAAGGATGTAGTGTGTTCTCCAATGTGCACTGTTTCACATTAGTAATGTCAGATTGTATAAGGCTGGCTTAGAAAAAAAATACACGTTTAGAGGAAAGAAGCAAGATCGAAGTAATTTTCACTCACTTTTTTTATATACTGAGGAATCTGCAGGATCTCATGAGCACAAACGTCAGTGCTCTGAGTAACCTCAGGGTTTATTAAATGTGTTAAACTTTAGCATGACCAAAATGTATTTATTTTTAATGGCACAACAACACTTATTCTTCAACATCGTATAATGCTGCTAGGAACTAGCTATTTAAATTCAATTAATGCAGAATTATATACTTATTTTCTTGGAGCCTACATTTAAATTGTATTGAGCTTATTGAGTTTTATATTTTTATAATTCCCCTATATCAGGTTTATACAGTACCAAATGACACAGTGCCTCTGAATACCATATTCAGAGAAATAATTACTTAAATGAGACTTAATCATTTATGAAACTAAATGGAAAATTAGAAGATATAATGTAAAATTAGATTAGCCTCAGTGTTTTTCCTTCTTCCACGTGGAAAGATACATACTGTACCTGCAGTTTGATAAACATTATAATATTTTTTCAAGCATCTGAGAAGAAATATCATGCATAGACAATTTACAGTTTAAGAGTTTAGCCTGCTTGTTGGGCACAGGATAGAAAGCAGCAAAACATAAATGATACCTTAAAAGAGTGCCACTGTAAATTGGCTTTAATTTATAAATAAATCATAAATAGAGAACTAAGAAAAAGTAACAGTTGCATGACAACTTTTTAATTCCTATTTCTGAGCACATCAAATCAAAGATAAATCTTAAACAGAGAGAAAAATAATCGAAAACTGATAAAGTAATAAAAACAACATAACCTAACATTTTGTTATGGGAATACTCTTGGGCATTTCAAAGCTAAAGACATAAATATTTATGGATATTATTAATATTATGTTTTTCAAGTAGGTAACTGCGTCAGCATGCATAGACTGCAGAGGAACAAGTAAAGCTTTATTCCATGCTGAAAAAGAAAGCAAAGAAATGCAAAGTTTCGGCTGTGGAGCCTTCTTTGGGTGTGTGTTTCAGCTCCAGTGCCAAAATGTTGTGTTTCTTTTCTTCCCTTTTCAGCATGGAATAAACCTTTACTTGTTCCTTTGCAGCCTACGCATGCTGACGCAGCTACTTACTTGAACTACTTGAGCCTACTTCTGCTGCAACCTACTATGCCTTCTAAATCTAAATCTCTAAATCTTTGTCATCCCTTCTCCTCCTCCCTGGGCTACTGGCCCCATTCTCTCACCAAACCAGCGACACACCCAAAGAAGGCTGCATGGCTGAAACGTTGCGTTTCTTTTCTTCCCTTTTCAGCATGGAATAAACCTTTACTTGTCACATTATTAGTATTGAATAATTCAATGGATCCACCTGATATAAACAGCAAAATTAATTATTCATGCACAGTCTTCAAAATTAATGCATTTCATATCAATGCTATGGTTGAGTTTGGCATTTACTTAGTATTTACTGTACTGTATCTTATCTGACTTGATTTCTGAAATTCTGCTTATTCTCATTAATTGATTTGTTCAATTCACTAGAATGATTTGGTCAAAGCGAATGAATCCTTGAACTGCCCAGCTCTATTTGCCAGCATGGTTCATGCTTTAACTGTTCCTTCCCAAATTGTAGCACAGCCTAGAATGTTTTATATGTTGGACATTCCTAAGGCCACATGTGCACACAGCTTAGCTGGAATACATGACCAAAGAGAGTTTACTGCTGGAAAAGATACAAGCAGAATGGTGTAGCTGAGATAAGGAGACAGAAAACATAAGGTGTTCTGAAGAATGTTGAGTGCAAGGAGAAATTTAATATCAGATCACAAAACGTTCTTTAAAGATCCATAATGTTGAGTAAGGACAGTTCTTCTGACAAAGTGATGAACTGAAGAAATAATTTGGGTGTTGAGTTTTGCTATAAGTTAATGCTGCAACAGATTTTATGTTCTAAAAGTAGGACATGCTACAAAGATACAGGAAGTAACAAAACTGGATGAGATCCTAGGCTCAAATAGTTACTAGAAAACAAACAAGCTAGATGATTAGTGTAAGCTGAATAACCAAATACGTCTAAAAGCCCCTCTAATTTGTAAAGATTTTTATTAACTCCATGTGTTGGTACAGAAGACTAGTAGAGACTACAAGGGCACAGAAGTCAGGCTACATTAGACACCCAACCATAATGGCCAAAATCTATGTTAATGGAGCTGCTGTTATCCTCCAATGAAATAAGAAATCATGGTTATTGGGGTGGTACTGTATGGTTAAAGACAAACCAGATCAGCTACTGGACAGAAATAGGTACCCTTAATGGCAGTGAACCTGTGATGGGATAAGTATTCATTCATCTAACTAAAGCTTATTCATGTATGGGGCAAACTTGTAGTTCAACACTGCCCTGACAAAC